GGCATAAACGTACCAAATGGTTATTCAATCCCAAATGGTCAGCCCTGAAAACATATACATACAAATAACATTATACAGAATGAGCAGGTTGTAGTTCTGTATTTAGGAATATGAAAATACGTATATACACAGGCAAGGGCGAGTGCATGGGAGGAGGGGTTGGAGGGAGGAAGAAAAGAGGGGAAGTTATGTAATTATTATAGATTCATCAAAAAGTTAATATGAAAAAAAAGACCATGAAGAAGAAAGCTTTTGGTTTTTGCCGGCTTGCCCTCTCTCTCACTGGCAAGTTTATCTGTCCTTCACTGGTATTAGAATCAGGAATTAGTTTTGGGGGACATTCTATGTTAATTGAAGACCAGTAGTTCTCTAAGAATCCTCCAGGACTTCAGCATCAGATTGGGACTGGTAAAACACCCAACCACGCGGACTAAACAGAGATTTTCAAACTTTCCTTTGTGAAACAGTCAATGTTGGGCTACCAGGACCACAGACTATAAGCCGTTCTAATATATCACACTCATGTATACACACACACACACACACACACACACACGAGACAGTCAATGTTGGACTACCAGGACCACAGACTATAAGCCTCTCTAATAGATCACACTCATGTACACAAACACACACACACACACAAGACAGTCAATGTTGGACTACCAGGATCACAGACTATAAGCCGTTCTAATAGATCACACTTATGTACACACACACACACACACACACACACACGCACACTGTACTCATTCTTTAGTTCTGTTTCTTTAGAGAACCCTGCCTAATATGGTGAGTCTGAGGCCAGCACAGGCTTTATGAGACCCTATCTCATAAACAAATACCAGAGACCATGAATCTTTAGGGATGGTTCAGGGAGTAAAGTGTTTGCTACACAAGGACAAGAACCTGAGTTCAGACCACCAGCATGACATTGTACTCATGTGACTCAGAGGCAGGCAAGACAGGAAAATGTCTGGAGCCTGCTGGCCAGCCAGTCTAGACAAAACAATGAGATGTAGGTTCACTGAGAGACATTTTCTCCAAAAATAAGGTAGGGGTTATCAAGATTGCTTGGCAAGTAAAGACACCTGCTGCCAACTCTGGCCACCTGGGTCTGAGCCCCAGGACCTATAAATTGTATGTAAACTACATACATATCATGATACATGTGTACCTCAACACACATAATACACATAAATAAATATATGCAATTAAAAATTAAAGTGGAAAGCAATATTTGACCTAATTTGACTTTAGAAAACACTCAAGTACCAGAGACCAAGTGATTTGTAAAGAATGGAATCTTAAGCCAGGCATGGTGGTACGTGTCTCTCATCTTGGCACTTGAAAGGAAGGTCCAGGCAGAAGACCATCCCAAGGTCAAGTTCTCAGCACAAATATTTATTTGCCCCAGAAGGACAGAGGGCAGGGAATAAGAGACAAAGGCAGGAGACAGAGAATGAGGGAGAAGGGGAAGGAAACAAGGAAGAGGGGGCAGGGGTGTTTGTCCCAGGGGACAAAGGACTGCCTCTGGATAGACAGGAGACAGATATGGCCCTTAGGAAAACAACAGTTTATAAAGGTACAAGGGGAAAACCTGTGTGAGGATAAGGTGTTTAGTTTTAATTGGGTATGTTAATTAGGATACTCAAAGGGGTTTCTGATTGCTGGACTTCAATATTTTAATAGCTGGACCTTGGTGGTTAACCTCAGGAGGAGAAAGTGACCAAATAAGGGAATAGACCTTGGGGGCTAGCTTTAGGAATGTAATCTAATAGTTTTTTAGCAAGGCAAAGGGAATGGGGAAAGGGGCAAGGCCTGCCAAAGCCATGTTTGCCTCGCTTGAGCTGGTCAGAGTCCCTTAATGAGTTCAAAGCATCTTCGTAGGGAAGCTAATGTTTGGTGACAAAGAACAATGTGTATGAATGTGTCTGATAAAGGATCCAGACATGGTGGCCCCTGTCTACAATCCTGGCACTCACAAAGCTGAAGCAGATGGATCACCTCAAGTCAAAAGCTAGCCTGAGTCACACAGTAAGATCCTGAAAAGAAAATCAAGCCAGGGGTAGCGGCACATGCCTTGAATCCCAGCACTCAGGAGGCAGAGGCAGGTGGCTCTCTGTGAGTTCAAGGCCAGCCTGGTCTACAAAGTGAGTTTCAGAACAGCCAGGTCAGAGAAGCTCTGTCTTGAAAAACTAAAAATAAAAATAAAATGAAACAAAAAAGAGAACGAAAAGAAAAGAAAGGGAATTAAGTAGACAAAAAGTGTAGGGTCCTAACAGGCACAAGGTGGTACTGGAATGTCCAAATAAGAGCCTGAGATTGTGATGGGTTTCAGCAGGAGTTTGGTGGAGATCAGAAACAATGGTAAGAAACGGGAATTCAAGATACTGAGATTGTGCTGAGGCGATGGCTCAGTCGATAAAATTGCACACAAAAATATCTAAGTTTTATCCTTAGAAACTGGAAGATCCCTGGGGCTTACTGTCCAGTAGGCCTAGCCTAGCTGGTCAGTTCTGGTCCAGTGAGAGATCCTCTGTCAGATACAAGATGACTCCTGAGGTTGCCCCAGCCTCTATACACACACACACACGCACACACACACACACATGCACACATGTATGCATGCACACACACTCATGCACACGTACACACATACACCTCCCTACATATGGGACCTGTCCGGGTTTGCTTTATTCCTATACTAAACAACACAATCAAAAGTAACAGTGGGGGGAAAAGGTTTAACTGAAATAAAATGAGATATGATATACTAAAGTTTAAATCAGGCCTATCAAATTGAAACCACTCAACAATGCTTCAAACTGTTTTGGTTTTTGCTTTTGTTTTTCAATACAGCATTTCTCTGTTTAACCCTGGCTGTCCTGGAACTTGCTGTGTAGACCAGGCTGGCCTTGAACTCAGAGATCTGCCTGCCACTGACGCCTGAGAGGTTAAAGTTGTACACCACTATCACCTGGCACCACTTCAGATTGTAAGTATTTAGCTGGAGGCTTCACCCCACTCCCGGCATAAGCTTCCTCCCCTGGGAATTGCCTTAGTCCAAACTCCACCTCTGAGAAAGCCCGCCAACTGGTAAACCCTCCCCAGGGAAGGTCAAGACCACTCCCACAGGCTATTTAAACTGCCCCCCAGAGAATAAACACATGGTCTCCCAGTTTTGCATGGTCTCCCCCCCTCTCTCTTTGCCTCTCCACGTTTTCCCAGGGTCACCCGGGAGTATTGTCATCCATTAAATATGGGTATCTTTTAATTGGGTCTGATTTGGTTTGATTGGGATTGTTTGCATCAGCAGAGAGGTTTGTTTGTTTGTTTGTTTACTACATTCTAGAATTGCTATGATGATGCATGGTCAGCACATTTAGCTTTGGGGATTACACTGAGAAAGCTGATGTTTTGGGGGAAAGGGAAACTAAAACAAATTGGGTTTGCTAGCTACATAGAATTTTGCTGGGTGGAGTAACCATTTTAGATCCCAGAAACAGCTTCTGTCATATTCAAGATTATTAGTGGTGAGTTATTCCCAAAGTGGCAGTGAAATTGCCAGAAATGTCAATCAAGGAGATGCCTCCAGAGTCTGGGGGATGAAGCTCAGCCACAAGGGAGGATAAAATTCCCTAAGATCCCCCCATGCTGGGTTAGATACAGGCTCAGCAGTATCTAGAGTCTGCATCTAAACAGTTCTAGAGCCTCTGCCTAGAATCCCCCAGTGGGACTAGGAGTGTGGCTCATCTACAGAGCACTTGTTTCGCGTGTGTGAGACCCTGAGTTCAGTCTCCAGTAACTGAGCTGGAACGCTGAATTCTACATCTTCTCTATGCTAATGTTTTCGTTTTGTCTCGGCGGAGGTAGTGTCCCTGAGGATAACAACTGAGACCATCTTCTACCCTGCACACTCCTGTGTAAACGCACATTAAACTAAAAGTCGATGTACATTTTGTGGAACTTTTCTTTTTTTCTTCTTTTCTAGGAATTTTTCCTAATTAAGTCATTTGAAGTAGGAAGACCCACCATAACCCAGATCTTTTGAGGTGAGAAGCTCCACCGTAAGTCTGGCCCACACTTTCTGGAGGCAGCCTATGTAAAGGACGTGGAAGAGGAAGCTTGCTCCCTTTGCCTGCTTGCTCTCACTCTTGCCCTCATTCCTTCCCGGGCATTAGAACCTCCTGCTTTGAGATTCTGGCCTTATACTGAAGACCAGCTGAGACAGGCAGCCTCAGGACTGAACAACTACTGGATTCTTGGACTTTCCTTTGAACTTAGACAGCCATTGTTGAACTAGCTGGACCACAGCTTGTATGTATGTATGTGTATATGTATATTTTATCAGTTTTATTCTTCTAGAGAACCCTGACTAACACACAGGTGAATTACCATATCTACAATTATCCTTGCCCCAGCAGGAAAAGGGGAGACCTTCCAGGTAAGTCTTGGGGCCTCCCTGTGCCTACTATCTTCTGATCATCCCGCACACCCCAGCCCCACCTCAGGACCACCCCTAACTCCATTGTAAACATGACCCCTAGGAGTTCAGTAGTTCCAGGAACCCCTTGCCTCTCTGTAACTCCTTGGAGTTGCAAGCCAGCTTCAGGCCTTCCCCCAGCCTCAGCCTCTCTCAATTCTCCCCGCCCAGGCTGAGAGGTGCAACCGCACCCTCCCCCAAACCCCTCCCGCCCCCAATTCGGAGCTAGGCACGCGGCGGCTCAGCCCTCCCAGGCTTTTGCCTTGCTGCTCCCGGGGTCCTCTTGGCTCGCGCATCTTGTCAGCTGCCTCTTCGAGCAGCACCCTCAGGTAGGGAAAGGCGGTGCCTGTGAAACAGTGACCGCCGGGAACGCGGAGGAAGGGAGGTCCAGAAGTAGCGGAGGGAGGTCGGTTGGCCACGACGACGGAGTGGGGGATTCCTTTGTCTGCAGCCAGGCAGCCCCTGGCCCAGCCCCCTTCCCCTCTCCACTATCCACTGGGCGGGCTCTTGTAGGATGCCGGGAAACCCCCGTACTCTGCAGGACCTGAGCTTCCAGTGTCTGATCTGCAGGTGAGGGCGGAGCGAAGCACCACCCTGAGGATCTCACAAGGTGCTGTAGCTTTGACCATGGTGACTGGAGGTCGCTGCCCAAGCACTCTCGGGGGTGCCTCTTTCCTGGGACTCCTCGTTCTTCGCTGAGGCTGCAGAGGAAGCTGCAGCGAGGGGCGAGGGGGGGGGGCACATCTTCCCATCCAAGTTCCGCTTGCCTTTGAGGCAACTTAACTCATCCAACTAATCTTGGAGACCTAACTTTCAGAGCTTGGGAGTGTGGGAGGATCCGGTGAGTTGGCCATGTTAATCAGATCTCCTGGAAGCAAGACAAGTGTCCTTGTCCCCTTCCCCTGCCTGGTCGTGCCTCTAAGTCAGAGTGTCTCAACCTGTGGGTCGCCACCCCCTTTAATAAATCATCTCCAGAAATATTTACATTACAATTCAGAACTATAGCAAAATTACAGTTATGAAGTAGCAACGACAATAATTCTTGGATGGGGTCATCACAACACCAGGAACTGTATTAAAGTATTAATACAGTTAATAAGTTAGGAAGGTTGAGAACCACTGCTTTAAGTTAACAAAAGCTTGGGAACACCCGGTCAAACTTTCGCTTCTCCTCAAAGGCCCAGAGTTTTCATTCTGCAAACTGTTTATGGGCTATGTATCCCAGAAGGCCTTAAACTCACTATCTTCTTGCCTCTACTTTTCCGCAGGGTGTTATTATATGTACGCACCACCACACCAGAGCTAGCCCCGGGGATCAAACCTAGGGTTTCATGCATTCTGGGGAAGCACTCTGCCAACTGAGTTACATCCTGGTCTCCATCCAAACCTTTTACAAAAGAAACATAACACACTGATTTTCTTACAGTTTAGAAATGTATTTCGTTTATGGGACGCGGAGTGGGGCGGGGCTGGGGCCGGGGAGGAAGCATGTGTGGAGGTCAGGGAACAGCTTGTGGGAGTTGGGTCTCTCCCTCCACCGTGTGAGTCCATGTGAATCAAACTTAAGTCCTCAAGTGCCTTTACTGGGCTGAGCCTTCTCACCAGCCCAACCGACTCTTTTGGGAAATCGCCTTGACCTGCTCCCACACTCATTCTTCCCGGCCAAGGATAGAGTCAACCGTTCTGGGAGGAGGAGATGGCTGGACCTTGCATCTTCTCGCTAACCATGTGATAGTCTTGCTTTGTCCAAAGTGAACAAGATGCAAATGTTGTCAGAATGCCCAGCTGCCTCCTTTGACTTAGCCACTTATTTAAGTTTGGAATGTGTGTTGTACACACATGTGTGGGTGCACACATGTACAACATGTGTGTGGAGGTCAGAGGTCAGCCTCAGGTTCTGTTCCTCAGGGTCTCTCACTGACCTGAAACTCACCAAGTAGGCTAGACTGACTAGTCAGTGAGCCAAGGATCTGCCTGTCTCCTCTTCCCCAGCGCTGGAATAAGAGCACGTCCCGTGGGACTGGAGTGGATGGCTCAGGGGTTAAGAGCATTTGTTGATCTTTCAGAGGTCCTAGGGTCAATTCCCAGCATCCTCATGGAGACTTAAAATCAACTACACTCCAGTTTCAGGGGATCAAATGCCCTCTTCAGGCTCCCTTGGGCACCAGACACTTACATAGTGCTCAGGCACATATGAAGGCAAAAATAACCACACATAAAATAAAACAAAATATTAGAGAGAGAGAGAGAGAGAGAGACAGAGAGAGAGAGAGAGAAGAGGAGAGGAGAGGAGAGGAGAGGAGAGGAGAGGAGAGGAGAGAGAGAACCACCATGATGTTTGGTCGTCTTATGTGGGTTCTGGGAGGTAAAATTCAGATCCCCATGTTGCAAGGCAAGCCCAAGCCGTATTCCCAGTCTTTAACCAGTCCTTCTCTACCCTCCCAGCCAGAATTCTGGGGGTCTCCTTAATCTTCCTTCCTCCTCTGGAATCCCCACCTACTCTTTTTGATTGTTTGAGTTCTCTGTTATTCCTTGTTATCAACCCCTGTCATTTGGCCCTGCCATCTCCCTGCCCAGCTTTTGCTGGACCCCACATCCCTTCCTTACTCCAAGCTCATATTTGTCTCTCACCAAAAATATTTCAAGAGCTCTTCATTGCCCTTGATGCACAACCATGGACCACCTTCCCTTTCTCCCACTCTCTACTCCCTTTTCCCCCCACAAACCCTCTTCCCCAGAATCATTATCTATAGTGACTTCACCTGTGAAATATCATATCCTGAAGCTAGAAGATAGCTCAGTCAGTAAAACCCCTGCTTTGAAACTTAAAGGCTTTTGTTCGATCGCCTAGGACCCACTTAAATATGATAGCCCTGAGCATGTGTAGACAGAAGGATCCTGGGGCTCATTCACCAACCAGCCTAGCTTACTTGGTGAATTCCACTCCAGGGAGAAGTCCAGTCTCAAAAAACAATCTGACGGCTCCTGAGAATGACAGTAGACGTTGCCTGGTGGCCTCCACAGGCACGTGTGTATGCACACATGACAAACACACTAAAATCAATCAAACCCCTTTCAAAAGTCTGCTGTGGTTGTTCCCCTGCTCTCCCAAGGCAGAACTGGTGTCTTCCCAGGCAGACTCCTCACAGCTGTCCATTCTATGGGGTGCCCCTTCACCATGTAGTTCACTTGGCAGCTGACTCTGCTTGCTCCTTGCAGCCTCCAAAGACACATCATGACTCTGGAAGGCCCATGTTGGGCAAGGAGAGAACCTGGAGGCTTCCTTACAGCCTGGGGTCCTCCAGCTCAGATTCTGCTGGCCTGGGTGGTTCTATCGTGCATGGAAAATGGTCAAGGCTACTGGGATGGGACCCTGGAATCTGCGAGTCCAGACCATGTGAGAAGGCGTGGCAGGCCTGCCATCATTTTGCAGGGGTGCGTGTATCTGGAATGCTGAAAGTACCTGGGGTGCAGGCAGGGAAGGCTATGCTGGGGTAAGGGGACTGGTAGCGACATCACCACTTTCTCCCAAAGGCCTAATGTCTGTGGTTCCCGCTTTCATGCCTACTGTTGCCCTGGCTGGAGGACTCTGCCTGGCAGGAATCAGTGTGTTGTCCGTGAGTGTTGAAGAGAGGAGATGGAGGGTACAGGCAGGGGATGCTTGGGGGTCCTCCCAGCTACCTGTCAGCAATCCCAGCCTTGTCTACATATGAAGTTGGAACTTAGCTCAGGGCTGCTGGGTGAGCCTCACTAACGTCCCATGCTTTTGTCCTTAGACTCCATTGTGACTTGATGCATTCATTTATCTCTTTTTGAAAAATAAGTATTTCGTTTATTTTGTTGGGTGGGTGAAGCATGCCATGGTGTACATGAGGGCAGTTGACAGTAATCCGTTCTCACCTTCAATCATGTAGCTCTTGAGGATCAAAACGTCATCAGACTTGGGAGTGAGTGCCTTTACCTTCTGAATCATCTTACCCACCCTGCATTCATTTCCTTTGTCCTCCCATCTTGTCGTTTCTGTCTGGCTTTCCTGTTTTCCTGTCTGTCTCCATGGTTCTTCGGGCCTCTCATACTCTCTTTATGTCAATCTCATACTCTCTCCCCCAACTCTAGCTTCTCTGTCTCCAGACTCGGAATCAGGGTCCTCACCACTCCAGCCTCTGTGCCCTGAAGTCAGCCCTTCATGCCCACATCATCTCTCCTGATGATGTAGCAAAATCCTGGAGCTGAAGGTCACAGCACCTGCTCAGCCTAGAGACTTGGTTGGGGTTATTTGCCATTATTCAGGGTATGAGCAGAGCTAGAGCTGGGGAAGACCAACTGGTTCACCTTGAGGCTTCTGGTGGCCTGGGAATCTTTGGAATGAGGATGACATGAGACTCACATCCTTTCTCTCTCCCATCCTTCAGCATTCCCCCTCCATTCCCGCTCTCTTCCCTCCCAAGTGTTGGGCTGATATATGCACACTACCACATTTTGCTCGGTAGTATTTAGTTAGTACTGTGTATGTGCATGTTGAGTGTGTGGAGGCACACGTACCATGATACACCTATGGATGTCAGAGAACAATTATGTGAAGTCAGTTCTCTTCTTCCTTTCCGCCTTCACTGGTGAGTTGAGGTTGGATCACCAGGCTTGTGCAGCAAGTGCCTCTACCTAATGAGAAATCACTAAGGCCGTGGGTCCTGATTTTGATGCTGTACTCTCTGCCTTTCCAGCTGTCTGCAGGCATGCCTGTGGCAATGGCTTCTGCTCCCAGCCCAACCTGTGTACCTGTATGGATGGGACCCTGGCCCCCAGCTGTGGCGTAGGTAGAGGTGAGTGGTCAGTGGCCTCTTGAAGAAGGAAGAGAAGACCCTAGGCATCTGAATGCCACTAGGAGCCCAGGTTGTTTTTGTTGAAGGATAAGAGCCAAGCCAAGTAGAGGCCCTGGTCAAGCCTTCCTGGAACATCTTCCCCTTACTGTATGTTTTTCCTTATCCAAAGCATCACTGGGGTGTAGCATGAGCTGCATGAATGGAGGCAGCTGCCGAGGGGAATCCTGTCTATGCCAGGAAGGCTACACGGGCACTGTGTGTGGACAACGTGAGTACCCCCATTGCTGACCTCACTTACACAGAGAATCCCAGGAAATGGATTTGTTCATCACTTGTTCACTTTGATCAGAGATCAAAGGTGACAGGCTCATTGTTACAGCTGCACAAGTCGGGGGCAGGGGCAGGTGTTTGTGCAGATGTGCATGTATGTATGCCAGCATGTGTGCATGTGTGTATGTGTGCATGTGTGTATGTGTGCATGTGTGTATGTGTGCATGTGTGTATGTGTGCATGTGTGTATTTGTGCATGTGAAGGCCAAAGATCAATGTTAGGTATCTCCATCAATTGTTCTCCACCTTATTATCAGAGACAGGGTCTCTTATTGAACCTGGAGCTCACCTATTCGGCTAGGCTACCTGGCCAGTGAGCTTTCAGAGACCATCTGCCTCTGGCTCCCCAGCAAAGGAATTACAGAGCACCATTGCTTGTGACTTTCCCATGGGTGATGAGGATCTGAGCTCAGATTCTCATGTTTACACGGCAAGCACTTTACTGACCAAACCATTGCTCATTAGTCAGTCTTACTCCCCCTGGTCCAGATGGCGGGATCCCTGGATAAAGAAAGGCTACTTAGGTCCCAGCCCCCTCTGCTTCCAGGAAACCTTCAGTCGTCCTCCCCTGTCTGTCCACAGCCATCTGTGTCCACGGCTGCCGTAACGGAGGACGCTGCATCGGGCCAAACCTCTGTGCGTGTGTCTATGGATTCATGGGGCCTCAGTGCGAGAGAGGTACTGAGAAGAATTCGGGGAGGAAAATGGGCCGTGAGCAAGACATGGGTGGGTTCCAAGTGCAGACAGATGGCTGCTTCGCTCCTTCCAGGGCAGTCTGAGGACAATGGGCTTCCTTTGCTCATCCACTCTGCGTAGCAGTTATTGCTCATTGGCCTACTTCGAAAGAATTTGCATTGGGGGTTAGGGGGGCAGATGGAGAGGTGGCTCAGAGATTAGAAGTACTTGCTGCCTTTCCAGAGTACCTGGGTTCAATTCCCAGCACCCACCTGACAACTGTCTGTAACCCCAGGATCAGATCAGACACCCTCACATATATGCAGGCAAGACTCCAGAACACATGGAATAAAAATTAGCTCCTTTGTTTAGAAAAAAAAGAGTTTGTATTGGCTTGGGAATTGGAAGAAGAAAACACTGACCTTGGGATCAATTGCCATGACGAAGGGGATATAAAGAGCAGAGACGTCATGGACCATGGAGTGAGAGAGGACTTTCTGGGGAAAGAGACCTCTCTGCTGAATCTTGAAAAATGTTTTACTTTTAAATAATTTGATACATTTATTAATTTGTGTGTGTGCTCGTGCTATACCATGCGTGTGGAGGTCAGAGGACAACTTGCAGGAGTCCTCTCTCCTTCCACAATGGAGGGTTTGGGGATCAAACTCAAGTCATCATGTTTGGTGGCAGTGCGTTTCCTCCCTGAGTCACCTCCCAAGCCAGGATCTTAACTTCTTGAGACAGGTCACACTGAGTCACCCGGGTAGGCTTCGATTTCATTATTCAGTCCAGGTTCACGTCAAGCTTACCCTTGATCCTCCTGCCTCAGCCTTGTAAATACCTAGGATCCCAGGCATGCGCCACCTTGCTCACCCGACCCCTGGCTCTGAAAATGATCCACAGGGAATGGACACTTTACCGAAACCTCGCCCCACCACCACCACCTCGCCATCTCTCTCTGTCTCTGTTACTAGTGACTGAGCTCAGGTCTTATTTGAGAACTAAACAGGCACTCAACTGAACCACACTTCCAGCCATAGCCCCTCACTAGGGGATTCTAGGAGGGACTCTACCCTTGAGCCACTTCTCAGCCCCTCACTGAAGAACTGAAGGACCATGCTTAACAGTTAGCCATGCCCATACACCTCTTTCTGCTTATTTTTTTTTAAAATCCTATTTACTTACTTAGAAGATGATGAGGAAACAAATACTATGGCAAAGTGTGGAGGTGAGTGGAAAGCTTGCAGAAGTTGATTCTCACCTTCCATCCCTGTGGGTCTGAGATGAAACCCAGGAGGTCAGACTTGGTAGCATCCACCCTTACTAGCTCAGCCATCATCTCACCAGGTCCCCTTTCTACCTTTTATTTTTAAAATGGTTCAGTTTACTATTTTAAAGTTATGTGTGTGGGAGAGTATGCGCACATGAAGGCAGGTGTCCATAGAGACCAGAAGAAGGCATCAGATTCCCTGGAGCTGGAGTTACAGCCAGGTGGTTGTGAGTTGCTTTGTATGGGTGCTAGGGATTGAAGCAAGAACAGTAGATGCTTTTAATGGTTGAGCCATCTTTACAGCCCCATGAGGAAAAGGGAAATCGTTCCTTCCTTCCTTCCTTCCTTCCTTCCTTCCTTCCTTCCTTCCTTCCTTCCTACCTTCTTTAGAGAAGGTTCCATGTGGTGCTAAGAAGAAGGTATAAAATGGTATCTGGGTAGAATATTCTATGAATGTCTTTTAAAATTTGAGTCATAACATCTATTAGTTTCTTATTTCTCTGTTATGTTTCTTGTCTGGCAGTCCTGTCCAGTGGTGAGAGTGCGATATTGAAGTCTCCCACTATTAGTGTGTGGGGTTTAATGTATGAGTTAAGCTTTAGTAATGTTTCTTTTACATATGTGGGTGCTCTTGTATTTGGGGCACAGATGTTCAGAATTGAGACTTCATCTTGATGGATTTTTCCTGTGATGAATTTGAAGTGTCCTTCTCCATATCATTTGATTAATTTTAGTTTGAGGTTCTATTTTGTTAGATATTAGGATAGCTACACCAGCTTGTTTCTTAGGTCTATTTGATTGGAAAGTCTTTTCCCAACCCTTCACTCTGAGGTAATGTCTGACTTTGAAGTTGAGGTGTCTTTCTTGTATACAGCAGAAGGATCCTGTTTTGTATCCATTTTGTTAGCCTATATCTTTTTTTCTTTCTTTTTTTAATATTTATTTATTTATTATGTATACAATATTCTGTCTGTATGCCTGAAGGCCGGAAGAGGGCACCAGACCTCTTTACAGATGGTTGTGAGCCACCATGTGGTTGCTGGGAATTGAATTCAGGACCTTTGGAAGAGCAGACAATGCTCTTAACCACTGAGCCATCTCTCCAGCCCCCGCCTATATCTTTTATAGGCAAAATGAGGCCTTTGATGTTAAAAATATTAATGACCAGTGACTGTTAGTTCATGTTATTTTTGGTTTTGGTGGTGGTGGTATTGTGTTGTGCATGTGTTTCCCTTCTTTGGGTTTTACTGGTGTGGAATTATCTACTGCTTTGTTTTTGTAGGTGTAGCTAACTTCATTGGGTTGGAATTTTTCTTCTAGTACTTTCTGTAGTGCTGGATTTATGGATAAGTATTGTTTAAATATGGTTTTGTCATGTAACATCTTGTTTTCTCCCTCTATGGTGATTGAAAGCTTTGCTAGGTATAGTAGTCTGGCCTGGCATCCATGTCTCTTAGTATCTACAGAATATCTATCCAGGATCTTCTTGCTTTCAGAGTTTCTATTGGGAAGTCGGGTGTAATTCTGTTAGATCCACCTTTATATGTTACTTGACCTTTTTCCTTTACAGCTCTTAATACTTTTCTTTATTCTGTATGTTTAGTGTTTTGATTATTATGTGGTGAGGGAAATTCTTTTTTTGGCTCAGTCTATTTGGTGTTCTGTAAGCTTATTGTACTTTCATAGGCATGTCCTTCTTTAGGTTGGAAAAGTTTTCTTCTATGATTTTTTGGATATATTTTCTGTGCCTTTGAGTTGGACTTCTCCTTCCTCTATTCCTATTATTTTCAGGTTTGATCTTTTCATGGAGTCCAAGATTTCCTGGATATTTTCTGTTAAAAATTTGCTAAATTTAGCATATTCTTTGACTGATGGATCTGTTTCCTCTATTGTATCTTCAATGCCTGAGATTCTCTCTTCCATTTCTTGTATTCTTTTGATTATGCTTGCATCTGTAGTTCCTGATCATTTACCCAGATTTTCCATTTCCAGAATTACCTCAGTTTGCATTTTCTTTATTGCCTCTATTCCAGTCTTCAAGTCTTGAACCATTTCTTTCACCTATTTGATTGTTTTTTTTCTTGGTTTTCTTTGCTTTCTTTAAGGGATTTGTTGATTTCTTCTAATTTTTGGTTTGCCTTTTCCTCCATTTCTTTAAGGGAATTTTTCATTTCCTCTTTAAGGGCCTCCATCATCTTCATAAAGTTATTTCTAAGGTCATTCGTCTGCTTCATCAGCATTGAGATGTACAGGCCTTGCTGGTGTAGAACCCCTAGTTTCTGGTGGTGCCATGTTGCTCTTTATGTTGTCAAATGTATTCTTACCCTGTTGTCTATCCATCTCTTCCTCCAATGGGTGCAGGTGGGGCCTGTGGCTTCAGGAGTCACTCTTCCTCCAGGTGCAGGCAAGGCCTTGCCTCTTGTGTTCACTGATGCAGCTCTAGGGTCTTCTCTCCAGGTGCAGTCTTGACCAAGGCTCTGATGATCATGGATGTGGTGGGGAATTGTTACAGGTGTGGGGAGGCTGCTCCCAGGTCTCTGGAGCTTTGCTGGGTGGGAATAGGGTACAGAATATGCCTCCCGGGGGCTAGGGTCTAGAGAGCAGGGTCCTCCAGCTGGGAACCCAGAAACTCACCTCTCCGGGAACAGTCAGGGCCAAGACTCCAGGGGTCACAGAGGCAATGGGGGTGGTTGGGGGTGTAGAGAGGCTTCTCCGGGTTCTCTGGAACTTTTCGGGAATGGTTTTTATACACAGAAGCTATCAGAGTGACTTGTGTAGATGAAGAACCTAAAGGTGATGGACTTCGGAGGCCCTGAGATTGATTCCTATTGTGGGAGATGTCAGTCAGGGAGAAGCTACTGTTGTAGCTTGAGCTGCATAGTTTCACTGTCTCTAAAAGTAATAAAGAGGTCTGAGGAGTGACTCACTGGTGAGCACTGGCCCTACCACCTCCCAGAAAGTAGCTACAGATGAGACTCAGCCTGAGGGCATCCACCTAGAATCCCCCAGTGAGGGGCTGAGGTTATTGATGGTGGCAAGGGTCAGTTTATAGATAAAGAGAGACTTGTCATGAATTGGAAGGTGGAGGGGCTGCAGGATGTATACCTGGGTTATGGAATGATGTCTTTAGAAACACTTAACCAAAAGAGAAAAAAATGGAATAAGGACTGTAAGAGATGAGAAAAGTGTAGGTCAGTGCGGGGGGCGGAGAAGGGGACCAGGGCAGGTGGTGGGTATCAAAGGCCCAGGAAGGCTGGGTACCAAGCTATCTCTGATGCCCTCCTTCATAAGGGGCCCGGAAAGGAGAGTGGTTGGCTTATTCTGGGAGGGGCTGTCCTTGGTCCTGTGCCAGCCCTATTATTGGAAATATCTGAAGGGTGGGAGGAGCCAAGCAGTCACAAATGGACCCTGGGCACTGCGCTTGGGAAAACTGACGCAGCTCCCTTGTACTAGGTTTGAGGGTTCAGGGACATGGTGTCATGAGAGCCAAGAGGAGATTCATCCAGGCCCGGTGTGCAGTCAGACGTGAGACGGGCTCTCCTGCCAGGTATCCGTGGTCTCTGCTTGAAGGCAGGGTGAGAGAGAGCAAGTCAGAGAAAATCTGAAGATTCTCTGCTGGAGGTTATTTGTGTGAAGGTACTGAATATTTTGAAGGATCAGTAGGAGTTTGTTAGGTAGAAAAGGCATCCTTTCCAAAAGGGGACGTTGAAAGGCTCATTGGAAAGAAAAGGCCAGATATGTTGGTATAGAGGCCTGGGCACCTGCAGAGAACAGTGGGACAGAGACAGTTCAAAGTCAGATGCCTGTGTCCGTCTGTCCACAGACTTCCAGATGGGGCCCTGCTACCCCCACGTGAGTCCTGAGGGGTGCCAGCACCAGCTAACAGGTCTTATGTGCACCAAAGCTCTCTGCTGTGCCACTGTGGGCCATGCCTGGGGACTTCCCTGCCAGCTCTGCCCTGCACAGCCACACCCCTGCCGCCGAGGCTTTACCCCAAATGTTCATACAGGAGCCTGCCAAGGTGAGTTGTGGGGTACACAAGGGAGAATGGAGCCCCTAGGTATCCAGAGCTGAATGGAGATCCCCCCAGCACACACACATACACACCACACACACATACAAACCACACACACACACACACACACACCACATACATAGACACCACAGACACATACATACCACACACACACACACTCACACACATGCACCATGAGTTGGTTTTTCTCTCTGACTCCCTTCCTGGACTTTATTCCTGCAGATGTGGATGAGTGCCAGGTCATCTCGGGCCTGTGCCAGGGTGGCAGCTGTCTCAATACAGTGGGCTCCTTCAAGTGCCGCTGTCCTGCTGGACACCAGTTCAATATCAGAGGCGCCAAATGTGAAGGTAGGGTATGTGTGTGTTACCTTGGCTCCCTGCAGAAGGGTGGAGGGATTGGGCAGATGAGAAGCCTGGCTCCGACCCTGTCTGCCTGTGCAGATCTGATTGAGTGTCTTAGTGTATCTGGGCCCTGCTCTGGGGGTGGCTGCACAAACACGTTGGGAGCTATGTGTGCACCTATCATGAGGCTCAGTCAGAAACCTGGATGGAGCTCACTGCCTGGCTGAGATGGGCCAATGGGCTGAAGAGGGATACAGTGCTAAAATACCTCTCCCTCACCCCAAGACCATCATTCTGGTCACTGATACAATGATCCTCTGCCTCTCTGGGCCCTTGTTTCCTCCCATCTAGCAATTGTCTTCCCAGCATCTATGCTCTCACTGACTCTGGTCTGGGGGTCCTTTTGACGCTCTTTTTCTATGTCCTTTGGCGCTCTGGTCTCCCAACTCAGTCTCTTGATTCTTCTGTTCCCTATCTTCCTAAAAACAAACATGCTTCCACTATGCCTGTTTGTTTCTCCGGTTCTATGCCCTTTGGGGTTGATGGACATATTTACCCTTTATCACACTTTATCCTTAACTTCTGTTCCCACCACACCTCCCCCACCCTGTTGTGTCATCTCTGTAAGCTCCCATAGCCTTCAACTCTATGCCCCCCCATTCCCTCTGGTATCCATCTTTTTGCCAACCTCTAATCCTCCAGTCTTGATCTTTATGTCTTTCTATACCCGCTAACCTTCATTTCTGTGCCCCCAGTGATCTTCTAGCTTCAATCTCTGTTACTCCTCTGACCCTGTAGCTTTCAACAGGGGGCAAAATGATTCTCCTCCCAGCTTTCAACTTGGACCCCTTCTGACCCTTGAGTCTTTACCTTTGCTGTCTTCCTTCATTCACGTCCATGCCCTTCTGCCCATTAGCCCCTCTGTGCACCCAATCTTTTAGGAACTTTTCTCACTACCCCTTCAATTTTTTTGAAAAGAAGAAACTGGGGCTCAGAAAAGCAAGACTGGCTTGGATAGACTCAACAAGTCCATAACAGAAATGCCTACATCCAGCTGCCCAGACCCACATGAGGTTTGAAAGTGCCCCTTGTCTGGATCTCCAATGCAGTCCCCCACACTTCAGCCAGTCAAGAGTGGTTCTACCTCGCACACAGGTGTCATGAGCTTCCAAATCTAGATAATTTGGGGGGTCCACAAGGCTGCCTAGGAATATGGATGTAAATGAAAGGATTCTGTTTGCAGGAAAGAGAAGGAGGTATGGCCCATTCTCAGCATCACCTCTAACCCCTCAGGCTAGGCCTGTATAAGACAGAACTAAGAATATTGTATTGGAATTTGTCCAGTCTCCACCTCCAGGGTCCTTTATAGCCATAATAGGAGGTCTTCTGCCAGAGGACCAACTTATCCTCTGGATTTCAAGGGACTGATCCAACTACAGAATCTAATTGTCTCTGAACATGGACTTTGATTTGGTCCTGGGTGTGTTTGTTTGGTGTGTGTGTGTGTGTGTGTGTGTGTGTGTGTGTGTGTGCCTGTGTGTATGTCTCTATATCGTATGCATGTATGATGCCTGAGGAGGTCAGAAGAGTGCATTAGGTTCCTTGGGACTAGAGTTACAGACAACTGTGACCCACCATGTGAATGCTGGCAACTGAACCTGGGTCCTCTGCCAAACCATCTCTCTAGCCTCTCAATCCTGAGTTTTTAGTTCTAGCTGAGCTGTTCCAAGACTATGTGATTTTACTCAACTGACTTTTTTTTAAAAAAAAATATCTTAGTTTCTCCATCTATAAAATGGGGATAGTAGTCATACCAATCTTGAATGGTTGTTTTGAGGATAGACAGTGATAGAGCTGGGGATATGGTTCAGTTGATAGAATGTTTAGGTAGCATTCACAAAATCCTGGGTTCCAGCTTCTGCACTATGTACAGTAGTCATAGTGGTGTACATCTGTCAATTCTAGCACTCTAAGTGGACACAGGATGATCAGAAGTTCAACGTTACCCTTGACTACAGAATGAGTTCAAGGCCACCCTAGGGAGGCGGGGAAAGGGAGAGAGGAGAAAAAGAGAATAAGCATCGCAAGATGTAGTGAGACAGAAGTTGAAATGGTTTGTAGATGACTGGTACACAGTATGCTCAGTACATACATTGCTTATACATGTTCATTACATACATACAAAATGTAGTGAGACAGAAGTTGAAATGGTTTGTAGACTGGTACACAGTATTTATGCTCAGTACATACATTGGATATAAGGAGTACCCTGGGGAGGTTGAGGCAGGACCACTTGTCAGCGAGGGTGTTTAAATTATTGACAGCTGTAGTTTACATTAAAATTCTCAATATTCTATCTCTTTTTTCCCTACTGGAGAGACAGCTGCTTGTCAGACCCCATGTGGTTAGAGAATCTGGTTCCCCACGTTCAACCAAATCTAATATCTGGGTAACCTTGAACCAGAGTGTTGTCGTCTTCTCATCTGAACAGGTCTCTTCTGAGTGGCCGTCTCTCTCTCTCTCTCTCTCTCTCTCTCTCTCTCTCTCTCTCTCTCTCACACACACACACACACACACACACCTGGGAAGTCCCCAGGTACACAGGGGGAAAAATTGGCATGACTTTCCAGCATAATGTTGGACAGCCAGCTGCCAGCAGCCCTCTCTGCTGGTGGGAGTAGTTTCTCAACCAAAGGACACCAGCTAATATTTTCAGTAACTGAACCCAAAAATAAGCCTGAGAACTCTGATCTCCATGCAAAGCCATGGGCCCAAGAGTCTGGTGAGAAGCAGAGGAGTGTCTGTGTTTCTCATGCCAAGGTAACTACGGGATCAGTTTCTTCCGAGGGCAGTGGCTCCTAGTGCATCCATTTGCCCCATGGGAATGCTTCTCCATGCTTCCCTGTGATAGCCAAGGTCAGTAAGCAAGGACACATGGACATATTGCCTGAGTTTGCAACAGGTACCCCCCTACCGCTAAGAAGTAAGAGGTCTTCCTCGTTGTGCTTGAAGAAGAGTTTGCTGGTGGTGGCAACTTGAGATATTGGAGCCATGGTCCAGATGAAAGCCTAATTCATCTTCTATAATGATTTAGAAAGCTTTAAAATAGGAAGTACTGAGCAGGGTTTACCCACATGCTAAAGTGTGTGTGTGTGTGTGTGTGTGTGTGTGTGTGTGTGTGTAGTGGTTTTCATGTCTGCTTTACATGCAGAAGGTCCTGGCTTTGGGCCTCAGTGGAACCACAATTTATGTTATTTATTGTGTATATTTTATTTATGTGTATGTATCAGTGTGAGTGTGTGCCATCTATGTGCAGGTGCCTGCAGAACCCAGAAGAGAGCATTGGATCCCCTAAAGCTGAAATTACAAGGGGTTGTTAGCCATCCAGTGTGAGTGCTGGAAACTGGACTCATGTTCTCTAGAAAGAAGCAAGTCTCTTAACCGCGGAGGGCACCTCCTGCTTTGACTACCCCTTTCTGAAGCAGGATCTCCCTAGCCTGGAACTCACCACATTAGTTAGGGTGACTGACCAGGGATCCCTAGGAATCTACTCTTCTCTGCCTCCTCAGTGCTGGGATTGAAACTGCATGCCATCACACCCAGATTGTTTGCTTTTTATGTGGTTCTGAGGACCAAACTTAGACCCTGTACTTTCCATCTCTCCAGCTCAATGCCCTATTTTTCCTCAAGGCAACACTCTTCTGAGGCACTGTGGGTGCTTGGAGCACCCTGATTTATTGATGAGAAAACATAACTATGACAGTCAAGGAGAGCAGTTCTAGAGCAGTGTAGGTACCGCTGGAATTTGAACCCATCTGTGCTCAGTTTGTGCTTAACTTCCCCTCCCTGTATCCTGTTACAGAGCGCCAGGTGGGCACCTGCTTCTCAGTGCTTATCAGAGGTCAGTGTGCTGCAGGTCTCACTGGCCACTACACTCACAGACAGTGCTGCTGTGACAAGGGCAGGTGCTGGGCGACTGGTCCATCCCCAAAGCTGTGTCCTCCACGGGGTTCTGGTGAGTGATAGCTTGAGCTTCTAAGTAGAGAGGTCATGGGTGGGATTCATGGCCTGGCTTCAGATTCAGTTCTATGTTTTATTATTGTTATTGTTGTTGTTATTATTATTATTGTGTGATGAACCACCATATATGGACTGCCCATGCTTCAGCATTGCCAGGGCACAAATTTACTCACATTCATTATTGTGTGAGGGGAGAACCATTCATGCACGTGCATGCGGAAGTTAGAGAACAACTACGTGAAGTCGGTTCTCTCCCTCTGCCTTTGTTCAGCTCCCCACGCTCGCAAGGCAAACACCCTTCGTCACTGGCCTTCAAACTCTGTTCTTTGCAGGTGAATTCCTGAGACTGTGTGCTCAAAGGCTCCCACTGCTGCCTGCCTATGCAGACCTCTTCCCTGGACTCTCAGAAGTTGGATCCAATAACCTGGGCTCTGCCCTAGGGCCAGCACAACACAACCACCGTGGTTCCAATGGGCATGGGCACCAACGTTCCACACTGAGCTCTGGCAACTCCAACAGTGGTGAGCCCTGGTGGGGTAGGGGGTTCAAAAGCTAGGGCTGAACTTGAGCCTGAGGAAGCAATCCTGAAGAAGGGAAGGAAGCTTCTCTTTGATGGAGTTGGGGTTTTGGATAAGGAGTCCCAGGGGGCAACTATAGTTGGCCTTCCATATTTACTGTTTAAACTAACATTAGAAAATACTGGAGAAGAAAACATCTGCCAACTCATTTCATTGTTTTATGAACAATATATAGGAACTATCTGTAGGAGCTGGCTCTTCCGGAGATCCAAATTGGGAGCCCACAACTGCCTGTAATTCCAGCTCCAGAGAATCTAATACCAGAAGAGTCTGGCCTCTGAAGGAACTTTGCACTTGTGTGCATACACACATGGGCACAAAAAAAGTAAATCTTTTAAAAATAAATATATGCACACACCCAAACACCCACATATATACTCACACATAAGTTCTTTCTCTCTTTCTCATACACACACAGAGATATACATACACATACACAGCGAGAATACTAGCATAGCATTGCTTGACAAAGGGAACACATCTTGAGACATGCACGACTTGGTACTTTTGTTGTTGTGTCATCGTTTAGATCTTGCTTTCCACACACATATGTGGCATATGTGAATCACTTTATGTTGTCTCGGTGCAGTGGAAACCAAGGCTAGGGATTAGACAGTGACTTGGTTTTAGAATTTGCCAAGGACAACCTGACTCCTTAGTGGTGGATTCTGAGCAAATTCTCTACTACTGAAGCCATGTCCCAGCTCCTGATTGGCAGATTCTGGACAGGCACTCCAGTGCTGGTCCATCATCCAAGCCCTCACTGGAAGATCCTAAGCAGGTACTCTACTGCTGAGCAAATCTCCTGGCCATATTCTGGTATATTATAGTACATCCTATTCTAGACTATCCCAGTATATTCTAGTCTGAGTCTCTACCACTGAGCCACATATCCAAGACTTTCACTGGGGATTCTAGGCAGGAGCTCTCCTGCTGAACTACAGCCTCAGCCCTCCTCTGGGCATTACTTTGAAAGGTAAATGGACGGAGTTACTTAGAATAATACTTAGTACATAATAGGGACCCAGGCAGTGTGGTGACCTCAACCTTCAGCATGAGAATGCCACATCTTATTGCTCTTTGAATCTCTCTCTGTTGGGGGTGGGGATCTCAGGCAAGTGATACCAACTGATAATCCTGCCAAAGTGTAGCAGTGATGGGACCCAGTGATCAACCATTCCTCTGTGCAGATGTGAGGCTGGGGCTGTGTTTCCTACATTGGGATGAGGATGACTGTGGAATTCCCCTGCCTGGCAAGTACCGGATGGACGTCTGTTGCTGCTCTGTTGGGACATCATGGGGAGCTGAGTGCAAGGTTTGCCCAGAGCCCAGCTCCCCAGAATTCTTCAAACTGTGTCCCCAAGGGCTGGGCTTTGCCAGCCAGGACTTCCTGTCTGGCCGACCCTTCTATAAAGGTTAGTCTGGGGAGGGGCACACCAAAGGAAAAAGATCCTGGAAGGGAAAGTGGTAAAGGGCACAGCATGGGCAAAGGTCTGATGGTAGAAAGCATTATTTTCAGGTAGGAGGTTTAGTATCCAAGTGATATAAGACTGTCATCCCAGCACTCAGGAAGTAAAGACAGGAGGACCAGAGATTCAAGGTCAGCTTCGGTTGGGCTACATGAGACTCTTTCAATATAAATCAAAAAAACAGGTTTGGTATGATAATGCAGTTGATGTTATGTTTGCCTTGCAAGCATGAGGACCTGAGTTCAATTCCCAACAACCATGTAAACTCTCAGGTACAAGTTAAACAGATGTAATCTCATAGCTGAGCAGACAGAGACAGATAGCTCCCCGGACTCACTGGCCAGCCAGCCTAGGTCAGTCCTGGGACAGTGAGAAAGCCTGTCTGAAAAATCAAAGGTGATTTTCCCTCCTCAAAGCTCCTGAGAAACAACAGTTAAGGCTGTCTTCTGGCCTCCACATACACAGGTGTGTGCGTGCGCGCGCGCACACACACACACACACAAAAAGTGTGGTGGTGCATGCCTATCAAGCCAGTGCTTGGAAAGTAGAAGCAGGAGCTGCAGAGTGAGAGTGAGTTTTGTACTGTATGAAGAAGAAGAAGAAGAAGAAGAAGAAGAAGAAGAAGAGGAGGAGGAGGAGGAGGAGGAGGAGGAGGAGGAGGAGAAGAAGAAGAAGAAGAAGAGCAGGATGGCTCAGCAAGTAGAGGCATCATTTTTCTCTGAGGAGCCTGACACTGAGTTCAAGCCTCAGGAGGCACACAGTGGAAGGAGAGAACCAACTCTCAAATTGTTTTTCTGACCTCTACAGTGTATGCACCCACATACATGCATAAAACATAAATATGAAAGACTTAAGAGACAGGAATGTTAGCAAGCTCAAGAGGTAAGAACCTAGGGAAGGCTTAGGGTATGAATTCCAGACTAAAGACCTTCGGTGTGGTTTACCTGACCTTGTTTCCAACCCATACTCCAGATGTGAATGAATGCCAGGTGTTCCCTGGCCTGTGCACACATGGCACCTGCCGCAATTCTGTGGGCAGCTTCCACTGCTCCTGTGACAAAGGCTTTGCTCTGGGTGCCCGAGAAAGGAACTGCATAGGTAGGTGCCACTCCCCATCTGGTGAGGACAGGTCATGCATGCAGGAATTTGTGGGAGGGGTCCCTGTATTGAATGTGAGGACAAGATTCATTCTTCAATCTCCTTTTAACATACCCAGCTATGGGTGTGGCCTAAGACAGCTCACCACCCTGTCTGTGCTGCAGGGATCTCTACAGTCTATGGAGGGCCAGCCAAGACCACCTCTGAAAGGAAATATCTTGTCCCTTTTCTCTGTTCATCTGAGGCATTTCTCCTTCCTGGACTCAGCTCAGTTTCTTGGGGCTCTTGGGCAACCCTCGAGTCTACAGAGACCCAGCTCCATATGTTCTCTTATTTGAAACCTCTGGCCTGTAGATCCTCATGTTTGCACACACAGACCTCTAGCCCATATGTCTCTGTTCCCACAGACATCGATGAATGTCGTATCTCACCTGACGTCTGTGGCCACGGTTCCTGCATCAACACCCCAGGCAGCTTTGAGTGTGATTGCTTTCCCGGTTTCACTAGTGGGTCTTTGCTGATGAAGAACTGTGTGGGTGAGTGGTGGCAGGGGGAGACCATGGCAGAGAGAGAGCCATGGGAAGGAGGGACATCCAGAAGAGGGGTGCCAAGCTTGCTGCTGCTGTGCAGATATGAGGAGAAGGTGTAGTGTGCTGTTGGACTACCGTGGGATACTGCCATAAAGACAGCCCATTGAGAATGTGTGCCTTTTGGGGAAAGGGGCTACCCCCAGAGAAACCATTTAAGAAGAATCTAGCTTGGGCATAGATTTATAATGCCATCTCTCAGAAGGCTAGGGCAGGAGGGTTACCAATTCTATCTAGCCCAACCTGAGCTATATAACAAGGCCCTTTCTCCAAAATAAAAGAGGTCCCTGTCATTCACTTTGTTATTTACTCAGCAAACATGTCACACGCATTCACTGGATTGGGGTAATGCAGAGAGTTTAAGCACAAAGGGCTTCATAACTCCACGGGAAGACAAATGAAGTTGGTCTTGAAGGGTTAAAAAAAAAAAGGACACAAAGTTGGGTGAAGTAAGGAAGGGGACTGTAAGTGGGAGTAAGAGTAAGGTAAGATCAAAGTGTGTTCAAACTCTCAAAGAACTAGCTAAAGAGCCTTTCCCAAGAAAGCAAAATTCTTCTGTGGTCTGATGGGAATAAGGACCCAGGGGACACACCTATTCTGTGAGGTCGGGAAGGTGGCTGAGGACACTGAGAGTCACTGAAGTGGAGAGCCCAGGAAGTGGCTGAGAGATGGGGATGAGTGGGATGGATCAGTGGTTAAAGGTGCACGAGGCCAAGCATAACAACCTGAGTTTGATCCATGGTACCCACATCATACAAGGGGAAAAGAAGCTGCCACAGTTGTCCACTGTGACCTCCACACGCACGCCACAGTGGCTGGAGGAACAGCATGTGTGAAGGATCTGGGGTGCACCTAAGGGTTTAGGGAAATTCTGAGACATGACATGGAGGCCAGAGGACACATGCAAAAGCCCCGGGGTGGGTGTGAGAGGTAGAAAGATAGGTTTGGCTGGACTGCAAACGGGGGATGAAGGGATGCCACACAGAGACGCTTCCCTAACCACCCCATTCTCGAGTCAGCATCACCAGCCTGCTGTCTTTCCGCGTGTCCAGATGCAGATGAATGTGCTAGGGACCCGCTGCTCTGCCAGAGAGGCACCTGCATCAACACGGAAGGGAGCTATGAGTGTCACTGTCCCCCTGGACGTGAGCTGAAGGCCCAAGGCACTGCCTGTGAAGGTGAGCTTGCAGCAAGGTATGAAAGAGGGGCAGGGTCTGGCACGTGCTCACATCTGTGTGTCTATCCAAATGCACAGTAAAAATGTGAGATGAAGTGTATGCATGTGTCTCTGAAGATCAACCTCTGTGTGTGTGTGTTTGCATCCACAAGATTGTGTGTGGGTGTGTGAGTGTGAAATGGAAAAGTGTGCGCGTGTATCAACATAATGTGCATGAGTAGTGGTTTGTATATAGTCGTGTCTCGTGTGTGCAAGAGAGTGAGGTGGTTCATATTGTCCACCTGAGAGGATGTAAAATCACCTAGGAGACAAAGCTCCAGCATGTCTGTGGGGGAGTTCAAGTTCCTACATTAAGTTAATGGAGGTGGGCGATACTCGACCTGAACGTAGGTGGTGGCATTATCTATCCCATGGGCTGGGGTTCCGGTCTGACTAAAAAGGAGAAGGGAGCTGAGTGCCAGTGTTCATCCTGCTCTGTGTCCTGTTGGATGCAGTATGACCAGCTGCCTTATGCTCCCGTCACCATGACTACCCTACCGTGATGGACTGTATCAAACTGTGAGCCTAAGTAAATGCTTCTCTTTTGAGTTGCTTTTCTCAGACATTTTGTCACAGTAATGAGGAAAGAAACAAATACAAATGGGAAGTGTATCTGTGAACACAGCCATGTGAATATCGATGAAGCTGTATCTGTGCAAAAGCAAGTGTGTTTGTGAATCTATGTGCAGGTGTGTGCGGATGTGCAATGGCAAATTTTTGCATTTGAGTATGTGTGCATATAGATGAGCCTAACAGAGGACAGAAGTGTATATTTGGGTGTGAACGTATAAGTGATGAGCAGGTCTATGTATTTGCATGTGAATGGACATTGGTGTGTGTGTGTGTGTGTGTGTGTGTGTGTGTGTGTGTGTGTACCTATAAGAGTATATGTGAGGATGAGGTACAGATTCATGTTGGTACAAGGGAGAAGCATTCATGTTGGAGACTCTCCTTTCTGTGACCAAGACTGTGGTCCCATGGTCTGAAGGAGTACAGTCCAGCCTGGCAGGGAAGCCATGGCTACAGGAGCAATTAGCCACATTGTATCCATAGTCAGGAAGCAGAGTATTTAGGAAGTGCAGCTGAGTTACAAAATGTCAAAACTGGTCCACAATGACCCACTTCTCCCAGTGAGGCTCACCTTCTAACGGTTCCACAGCCATCTCAAATAGCACGAGCCTGGGACCATGTTCAATCACAAGAGCTTACGATATGAGTAAATATAAGGCTGTGTTTCTGTGTGCACTTATGTAAGCACACACAGTATGAGTGTATCTGAGTATGTTTGGGTGTGGGTTCATATTTGCACAAGGATAAGTGTGTGCATATAAGGTGTGTTTCTATCATGCCTCTAGGTGTGAGCATGTTTCTTCAGGCAAATGCATGTGTCTACAAGCGTGCATGACTTTGAGTTGCGCATGATTAAAAGATATATTTGTGAGCAGACAGGCAATCAAACGGTGGGATGCTGGTGCAAGCAGCCAGAGTGAGCTCACTGGGATGCATGTGATGGCGGATAGGGGATGAGGGACAGTAAGGCTGCTCTTTCACCTGAAACTTAGTCACCAGCCATATGTGTTCCTCCCACCAGACATTGATGAATGCACCACAAGTGACAGCCTCTGTCCCCATGGCCAGTGCATCAACGTCATCGGTGCTTTCCATTGCTCCTGCCACACAGGTTTCCAGAGCACTCCTGATGGCCAGGGCTGCGTGGGTGAGACTATGCCATCTCTACGATGCTCTCTGCAATTCCCTGCACAACACAGCTTTCCCCAGCCTTATTTCCAAACTCCTCTGAGTTCCTGCCCCTAATTCAGCCCAAGCTCACCAACCTGGTTCCCCTCTTGTCTGCCCCTGCAGACATCAATGAATACCAAGTCCGAATAGAGGCTGTGAAGTGCAGTGCACAAATGTGAAGGGAAGCTTCCAGTGCAGCTTTTGGCAGGATGCCCAATAGGAGGGCATGCACAGGGTAGTGAGTGTGTCCTATGCCTTCTGCTTGGGATGTGAGCACCAGAGAAGGCCTAGGCTAGACAGCAACCTCACACAGAGCCAGGCAGGATCAGCCAGATCCCAAATATCCAAGCCCTGGGAAGGATCCTGAACTCTTCCTATGTCCCTGTCCCCCTTCAACCCATCCCCTATCCTTGCTTCTCAAGATGTGGATGAATGTGAAGACAACCTAGGCATCTGTGGAGAAGGCCAGTGTACCAATGTGCCGGGATCTTACCATTGCATTTGCTATGATGGCTTCTCAGTCTCACCGGACATGAAGATTTGTGTAGGTAAGCAGCAGGGGCTGGTGGTTAGGGACACACCTGAACACACCTCTCCATAGCCTGTGTGATCCTGTCATAGAAACAGAGACCTGCCCCCAACTTTTTTATTCCCCTCTGCATTTAACATTCACCATATGCCCAACACCTATCAGAGACCTATGCTTGTTCCACAGGCTATGCACTAATAACTACAAGCAAAGGGTGGTTGGTTGTTTGGTTGGTTGGTTGGTTGGTTGGTTGGTTGGTTTAACTAAAGGTGTTGAGCATTGTTCAGAACATAACTGTGTGCTGATCTCTGTTTGAAGACCTTCCCAAAGCTCTTTGGATAGCACAAATCCGTCTTCACCAGGCCACAGGCAGTTCTTCCTCCTGGGGAGTAGACGCATACTGGGCGCCTTGTCAGGGCAGAGCTGAGCTAGAGCAGACAAGTCCCCGGTGGTAACAAGCCCACCAAAGGCTTTCTAACCCAGTAGATCCTGAGAGTTTCAGCTAGGAGGAATGTCAGAGAATATCTTTCAGAAGGTGCTAATGAGAAATACAACTGAGGCAACACTTCTACCCAAAAGGCATGTCCTGCTTTTTAACATGACAGGACATCACCTATGAAGTTCAAACTCCAGAACCATTGAATTCCATTAGTCACCCCCAAAACTTTTCAAGCCAATTCTCTAAGAGTTTTAAGTAAGTTTATAATTTTATTTGGGGCCACACTCATAACTATCCTACATGTAGTCTATAAGCCAAGGGTTAGACACCCCAGCACACCATCCAAATACAAGTTAGCATAAATGCATTGACAAACCTGGCTAGCTTTGTGAAAGGCAGCTGAGTGTGTGGGGCCTCTTTCCTCTGCTTAAGCTGTGAGGACCAGAGAAGAAAACCTGGATATCTTGGTTAAATGCAGCCCTTGTTACATATATTTGAACATGTATTACTTTGGGGAACACATGTAAGTTGTGTTCCATGAAAAATGCACTGTGAAATGCTCATAGAAGACTTATAAATACCCTGACCTGAGCCAGCAGGTCGTTCTTCAGTGACAGTAGCCTGAGGGAGAAGACCAGGGGACCAGAAGATAAAGACAACAAGAAAGTTTAGGACCAAGAGGTCTTATACTAGCTATGTCTCATACCAATCGAGTTTATTAGGAAGGACAACATCTTATATATAGTTTTCAAGGCAGGCGACGGAACAGAGTCAGCACAAAGCCATTGTACAGTGGGATGAAGTCAGCGTGAAGCTAATCAAGCCATGTTACACAAAGGGAGCATCATACAATGGGATCTTCATTGCATGAAGCTAATCAAGCCATGTTACACAAAGGGAACGCAGTAGATCTCAACTTCATCACAATCTGAACATACAGCAGCCTTGGGACTAGTAACTACAGTATCTTCAGAGGAAAAAGTCAAGTTTCCAGGAACTAAAACCTTCACTCTTTTGAGGTGTTAACCCTAGACCCAGACTGAACCTTGGTAAGTCTGCCACTGGGCAAGGACACAGAGCTAGGTCCCGTTTGTCCTTTCATTGGGGCATTTGAGAAAACCTTGGATCAGCCTGACTCACTATCTAATGCTGGTCCTAGAGGGAGCGCTCAACCTGTGTTAGTAATTTGTTTCTGTTGCTGTGATACAAACCCCAACAAAAATCAATGTAGGGGTTAAAGGAGTCTATTGTAGCTTATAATTTCATGTTGGAATTCATCTCTCTGTGTGGGAGGTCAAGGCAGGAACTTCAGATACAGGGTGGTCATGTCACATGCATAGTTAACAGCTGAGAGACGTGAGTACCTGCATGCTCACGTGCTGCCTTGCTCGTCTCCGTGTCTCCACTCTTACCTAGTTCAGGACCACCCACAGTGATCTGGGTCTTTCCACATTAGTAAACTTACGACAGTCCCCTACAGATATGCTCACAGGCCTGTTTCGGCGTAAAAGAATGGCAGACAGAATTTATTATAAAATATTCAGCTTTAATAAGGGGAGGACATACAAAACCGAGGTTCCCGCAGAGAACAGGAAAACATAAGGAAACGCAGGGAGCATGCCCGCCCCCAAATCTTTATAAGTAAAAAATAACCTCGGGGGATCCCGCCCTTGAAGCAAGGTGATTGGCTGGGCTTCCCCTACACAAGCCAACCCAGTGTAGACAGTCCTTCCCTGAGGATGTCTTCCTAGGTAATGCTAGGTTGTGACAAGTTGACAATCAAAACTAACCATCACACTTTTCTTTGCAGACACCCACACAGCCTAGTAGGAGAATCTGCTGTGTGGCAACTACTCTCCTGCCTCCCTGCCCTAGCCCTGGCCCTATTCCTCTGCCATCACTCTACCCACATAACCCAGACCCTGTCCTCACCACAGATGTGAATGAGTGTGACATGAATCCCCACCTCTGTCTCCATGGGAACTGTGAGAACACAAAAGGATCCTTTACCTGTCATTGCCAGCTGGGCTATGCCATCAGGAAGGGAGCTCCAGGCTGCTCTGGTGAGTGAAAGTCAGCCAGCTGGAGCCGGAGAGATCCAAAGAGCCAGCTTGAAGATCATTAGCACTGTCTCCATGCCTTAGGATAGAAGGCAACGAGACTCGTTCTTACCGTTTCCACTAATGAAACCTCTCAACAATAAAGCACCCTGGGAGCCTCTTAAAGAGCTCAATGGAGGGAACCCCAAAGGAGAGAGCAGCATTCCCAAAGCAAGCAAGCCAGATGGTTTTTGCATGATACATGGATTAGCATTTAAACATCTAACCAGTAAGAGAATTCACATCTCAGATCAAACTTCGAACCCCAGGATATTTTCTCTATCCAGAATGACAGCTAGAAGGCTGGAATCAGGGGATGGGTAGGTTTCTTCTTGGTACAGAGAAAGGACCTGCCCTAGGCATCTCTCTAACTTCTGGTTGTTGTTGGCAGACTGTGGTAGAATTTGATTCATAAGAACATTACACCCACAGCTGCCTTCATATTTGCCTGGTAGTCTTCTCGTCTTTCTGTGCCCAAATTCCCCTCTTAGAAGAGCTGATTGAACCAGGATGCAAAACAAACCATGATAATACTGTAACTTAGTGGCATCTCCAAAGATCATCTTTAACTAAAGTCACCTTCATAGATGTGAGAGGTCATAATATTCTCTCTCTCTCTCTCTCTCTCTCGCTCTCTCGCTCTCTCGCTCTCTCTCTCTCGCCCCCTCTCTCTCTTTCTTTCTCTCTCTCTCTCTCTCTCTCTCTCTCTCTCTCTCTCTCATGTATGTGTTCTACATAGTGAAACCATGTCTGTCTCAAAACAACAAAATAATGGGCTTGGGTATGGCTCTGCTAGAGACCCTGCTTGGAGTGTGCAAATCCCTGAGTTCAATGGCCAGGCTTTATGAAGACAGACATTCAGATTGTAATAGGTGGATGGATGATATATATAACCTTCATTAAAAAGTGATGGATGAAAGATGATAGACAGACGGATAGATAAATAGATACCTAAAAAAAATGAAGGATGGATGACAGACAGATGATAGATAACTAACCTTAGAAAATGAATTGATTGGTGGATGAAAAATAAAATATGTTCATGTAAGTCAAAGTGGGGAATTATATAGAAAAACGTTTATTTAGTAAACAGTGGCTCACACTGATTCAGAATTGGAAAGCCTGGAATCTTGGTATAACTGTTCATTGGATAATTGCACTTAATGCCTACATGAGTCTCTTGTGCTGCCTGACATTTCCAATCATCTCTGAGGGCCACTGTAAGTCAGATCCGGTGGCCTTGAGGCTTCTTTCTTGGGCTGTAGGAGAAAACCGAAGGTCCTTGGGAAGGCCAGTCTTCCATCTGTTTTTCTATCATTGCTTCTCTGAGTCTTCCCTGCTGTGGCTGCTTCCTACCACTGTTCCCTCTCCCCTCAGATGTGGACGAATGTGAGTTTAAAAAACACAACTGTGACAGGCACGCCTCCTGTCTCAATATCCCTGGGAGTTTCTTCTGTAGATGCCACCCAGGCTGGACTGGGGATGGCTTCAAATGCCACGGTGAGTACCTAGGGGCAGAACATCCCTGAAAGGTGAAGAGGTCGATGGAAGGCAAGGCAGGGTGACGGCTGGAGACTAGGAGACGGGATGTGGGAACCATGTGGGTCTGGGAGTGGAGAGTCAGCCTCCCCACAGCCTCAGTCCATACCAGGGGATCCCGGCTCTGTCTGCTGCAGACCTGGATGAATGCGCGATCCAGCAGCATCGTTGTGCTCCGGAAGCTGACTGCCTCAATACCCTGGGCTCCCACCACTGCACCTGCCGACCAGGATTTGTTGGAGATGGCTTATTCTGTGAAGGTGAGGCGGAGGGCAGGGCCTGAATGCGACAACCACGGTGCCAAAGTTGTCCTCCCCTGCCCCATGGGTACTAGAGGGTCTACGTCCTTAGCTCGCAGAGCCACTCTCTGCATGCCCACCTGTCCCCTCTTTTGGTTACCACTTTTTTTCTGATTTTTAAAAAAATTCTTGTTATGACCTTGTGGGTGTGCACAGATGTGTGGGAGGAGGCACACGTGTGCAGGCACACATATATGTGAGTACATGTAGAGGCCAGAGGTTAACTTCAAGTTCCTTCCTCAGGAGACAATCACCTTGGGATGGTGGTTAGTTATGGGTTTTCGTTTGGCTGGTCTATTGGTTGGTTTGGGTTGGGTTGTTGTTGTTATTATTGTTGTTCGTTTGTTTTGTTTTGCTTTGTTTGGAGGCATTTTTTCTGGTTGGGACCCCTAGGACTCACCAATTAAGCTATATTGGTTGGCCATTGAACTCCAGGGATTCATAGATCTCCATCTCCCCAGAATGGATCACACATTTGTGCTACCACACCTGGCTTTTTCCATCTGGGTGCTGGAGGTCAAATTCTGATTCGTATGTTGGTGTAGCAAGAATTTACCACCTGAGCTATCTCCGCAGGCTTTTTGCTCCCCAATTCTTTCATTATTAGCTTTTCCTTATGATCTACACCAGTGTAGTCAATTTAATCCTCTTGCTTCCTTGACTGTGACTCTGTGTGCATCCAACTGGACTCTACATGTCAGGGGTCCCCTTTTCACTCCGAATCCCCCATCTTGGTTATCTGCCTATTCAGAGTTAGCATCTGAGTTCCCGGGGTTCTCACCTGAGATTCTGGATGAAAGTAAATGGTTAAATCCAAGGCACTTCCTGCCCATTCAATGTGGGTCCTAACCCAGTTGGTTCTCAGCCCTGTGCTTTCTCAGACAAGGATGAATGCATGGAGAATGTGGGCCTCTGTGCTAATGGACAGTGCCTCAATGTAGCTGGCGGGTACCACTGTGAATGTGATATAGGCTTCAACCCTACCAAGAACCAGCGAGCTTGCTGGGGTAAGTCTCAGCCTAGCCCTGTCCAAGACAGTGGGTGTATACAGGGGGCTAGTTTCCAGAGCATACCATCAAACATGGTAGGCTGAAATGAGGTCCCTACAGATGTGGACGAGTGTGCTCTTGGGAACCTGTGCATGTTCGGGAACTGTGAAAACCTGCCTGGAATGTTCCGCTGCATTTGTGAAGATGGCTATGAACTGGACAAAACTGGAAGCAACTGCACAGGTATGGAGTCACCCTGGCTGGGGAGCAAGCCGTGTCCCCCTACACCCACCTTGACTTCTCTTCTAAAATAGTTTCCACTACCCCCTTTTGTGCATATGTGTGTATTTAGGGGTATGTACCTATGTATATGTGTCTGGGATACAAGTGGGTAAATATGCATGAGTCCAGAGGAGGATGTCAGGCATCCTGCTCTATCATGCTCCACCTTATCCCCCTGAGTCAGGCTCTGTAGCTGATCCTGGAGCAAAGCTGACAGCCAGAAAGCTGGAGCAATCCTCCTGTCTCCACTATTAGCCCTAGTGTTGCAGGAGAACATTCAAGCTTTTTACATTGGTGCTGAGAATTTGAACCCAGGCCTTTGTGCTTGTACAACAAGTGTTCTTACCCACATAGGCAGCTTCTTCAGCCCTCATCACTCCTTTATTTTAAAATTTTATTTTTAGATTTATTATTTTATATGTATGAGAGCTTTCCCTGAATGTGTGTATGTACACCACATGTATGCCAGGTGCCCATGGAGAACAGAAGAGGGACTCCCCTGGAACTGGAATTACAGACGGTTGTGAGCCACCATGTGGGTGCTGGAAACAGAACTTAGGTCCTTTGCAATAGCAACAAATACTCTCTACTACTGAGCCATCTTTCCACCCCCACTTCCTGTTTTTAATCATTGTGATCATTGCTGTGTAGTTTCATTTCTGTTGGTTGATAAAGTATCCTGAAAGCAAACAACTTAGGAGAGAAAGGAAAGAAGTCAGTTTCCACCCCCAAGTCTACCACTGTGGGCAAACCATAGCAGCAGGATCTTGAGACAGCAAATCATATCACATTCACATCAAAGAGCAGAGAGAGAATAAATGTGTGGAAAATAAATTCATGCATGCTTGCTTTTATGCTTATGCAAAGAAGCTTCATTTCTCTACTCCTCTAAGAGTGCTTAGGAATGGTACAACTTCATCTTCCCACATCAATTAATTTAACTAATACAACTCCCACAGACATGCCCCAGACCAATCCAATGGAGACAGTCTCTCACTGAAACTCTCTTCCCATGTTAATCTAGGTGATATTCAGTTGGTTATTAGAAGTGACCATCACAATTGCCCTCTCATCATCTCCTGAGCAAATGCAGTGGACAAATGAAGTGCCCTCTGCACCACATCTGCTAAATGGCCCCCTACCCGTATCTTTAATAACAGGTGGTGAAATTTTTCTGCATTCTTTCTAGGTGTCTTTTGCCACCACTAGCTTTCCTGCAGATAATATGTAAATATATGGGCTTAGTCATGTGTCAATAAAACTTTATTGATACAAATAAACACTGGCCACGTTGGGCCTTCAGCGTGGTTTTCCAACACCTCAATCAAAGGTGTTTTCTCATCTTAGTTTCATATGTTGGCTTGGGAAACTCAGGAATGAAGAGTGTGGAAGAGGATAAACCTAGGCCAAATGGAACTGAGCAGAGGAAGGGAGATTGCTGAATGGCCAAGGCAGACTCTTAAGGCCATGTCCTCTTTGGCTCCCTCCAAGGGAACAACAAAGATTCATACTCCAGCACCTGAGTGGGCCCATTGAAATCTATGGCCACTCAGGAGAAAGGGAGGGATGGTGTACAGTGAGGTCTCTTAGCAGATGATGGTGTGTGTGCCTCACAGATGTCGACGAGTGTGCAAATCCTGTGAACTGCATCAATGGCCTGTGTGTTAACACCCCTGGCAGCTACCTCTGCAACTGCCCCCAGGACTTTCAGCTTACCCCCAGTGGGACCGGCTGTGTTGGTGAGTACACACCTGGCAACAGCTGGGTAACTCAGGAGTCGGTATTACTGGCAGGGCTATGGCCTGGGTCACCTTGGATGTCAACTTGTGTAGATTTTCCTGCTCCCAACATGCAGGACAAGTATGGGCTGAGAAGTCATCTGTTGTGATACTGCCTTCTGGACCAGACACACATGGTCACATGCACTCAAAATTTTACACACATGCATACCTTCCCTGCCCATTCAGGAATATATTCAACCACTACATACAAACATGCAGGCTTATATGGAGGCATACACAGTTGTTACTGTAACGGCGTAAACGAATGCAGACAGATTGTAAATATATATATATATATATATATATATATATATATATATCTTTAATGTAGAAACAGACTTACAGAACCACCGTTCCTGCGGAGACCAGGAAAGCAGAAGCGACAGCTGGGAGCACGCTCGCCAAATTTATAGGCAAACATTAGCCCGAGGCGAACATGCCCCCCAAGGGGCGGGACTTATCCCTACATCTCCCCTTTTTGTCTAAATAAGACAGAACCAAACCAAATACAACTATATACAATAACAACAAATAATAAATATAACAAACAATATTGAGAACAAAAGCTTTGCTAAACATTCTATCTCAAGGAGTCCAAATAATGTAGAGAGTAACTACAGTTATATAATCTTCAACTCCATCAAAGATCTGAGAAGGGAATAAACACTACTCAACAAACGAGATATATCCAAAATGTGCAACAATTGACAGAGACAACTGACTACCTGGGCAATCACCCAAAGTCTCGTTTGCAATGTTGAGTCAACCAATTTTGGCTAAGGCCTAACATAACTGACATACCATTATTAAAGGCAAGGAACTTTTCAAAACTATCTTACCCTGTCTTGGCAGGATATGACAGTCCTGTTTTATCCATTGATGCACGCTCTGTATCTCTGTCAGTGGTTGAGGTATGGGCATTTCTTTGCCCAAAGGCCAGTTCTGCCAAATAGAAAGGCTCCAGATGGAGTGTCTTTGGTGCTCAACATTCTCTCGGGAATAGAGCGGTGTTGCCAGGAGCAATTGTGTCTCACTATCATGAAACTCTGAGTTAGATTAAAGGCCATTTTCTACAGCTCCTTGAAGAGGTCGAAGATTATCTATCTATACTGAGTATAATCTCTATATATCTAGAGAACCTGATTCGTCTAATTATAAATGACAAACTTAGATGACTATTGATCTATATAATTCTCAATATCTATCTAACTTAAAGACTAAGACAATAAGCAACTGTGTAACAAATGAGGATAATGACCTCCAAATATAAACACTGTACAAATATACATTGCAATATGGTAAATATATATCAATACTCAAACATTATGTAAGTATCTTAATCAGAGGTAGAAATGTACACTGCAATATGGTAAATATATACAATATATATTTATCAATACAATATATGTCAACACATAAAAAATGTTTTAAACAGAGATAGAAACATGCATGCATACAATAGTCAATATAATTTAACTTTGTATCAATATACAAGAATCGATACCAATATATTTGTCTAAAAACAGTAACTCACAATTATAAATCTATTATCCCATCATTACCTCTTTTTTTTTTTCAAAATGATCCCTGAGCTTATAAAATTCCTTCCCCAGCCTCCCAATCCCTAAATGATGTCCCTAAACCCAGGGGTAAACTTTACTGGGAGAGGGGACGTTGTCCTCTAGAATTACTTCCAGCTGTCATGGGGGCGACGTTCTTTCTGGGGGATCCCGTGAAAGTAAAATGATGGTTAAATTTCAGGATCAATGTCTTTTAAAATTGCAAATAGTCTCTGAGTATTTTGTGGAGGTCTGGCCAGAATGTTGTACAAGATGTGCACCATTTCAGCTAACCAAGTTGGGATCGTCTTGTGCAGCTGGTATCCAAAACAGGTCTTGTAGTAGCGCTATCAGTATCATGATGTCATATCAACCAGGGAGAGTTGTTGTTGTGGGGCCCCATCTTCTTCCTGGAAACTTCAAAGGTCACTTCAGGAAAATCTCATTGTTCATTGTGAAAAACTTAAACATTAATCATATAGACATACATATATATTTTCAATGAAAGGCATGATAGATATATTCAATGAAAAGTATGATAGATATGGAGAAAAGCAAAGATGTTTTCTAAACTCATATTTCTTTCTGTCCCATATCATGGCTCTTGACATGAGACAGAAACTCCAGAAACTCTGGGTTTTTCTCTTATTAACAGGCTTGGAATTGGAGAGGGACTGAGCCAGAGTCCAACTTCAAAACCAGCTCTACATATTTATAAAGAAATGTTTAATAAGACATATATATATATATATATAATTAATACTTACAAAAATATGTCCATCCATCAGTAATTAAATATTCAGGGTCCCTTAATTTCTTTGAAGATGAGTATTTTCCTATGGAGATAAGAAAAGAACACTGCCCCCAACCTATCTGTATTTCTTACCATCAGTATGCTCACCATCCTTGTGAATGAATTGCTATTTATCTTTTCCAAGTGGCTTCTCTTCTTCAAACCGAACCTTTATTAATTTTGACGGTATCCACAATTTTTCCTCACCTGTGGAGATAAGAGCAAAACCCCTTCCCCAACGTAGCACATCTCCTGGCTTCCATTGTGAGGTCAAGCACATCCTTGAAATAAACTGGTTGATTTAGTTCAGTAGACTTTTTCATTATCCAATGTCTTTCTGCAGCCGTTGTTCCCTTCTCATTAGCGTTGAGAAAATTCAAGGTTAACAAAGCATTATGTAACCTATTTCTGGGGGTGTTTTCCACCCCTTTCTGTTTGTTCAACATATCCTTTATAGTTCGATTTGATCTTTCTATGACTGCTTGACCTGTAGGATTGTATGGTATACCTGTAACATGCTTGATATTGTAATAATCAAAAAACCGTTTCATTTTCCTAGAGACATAAGCAGGACCATTATCCGTCTTTATTTGTGTAGGTATACCCATGATAGCCATGACTTCTAATAAATGAGTGATTACTGAATCAGCTTTTTCTGAACTTAAAGCAGTTGCCCACTGAAAGCCTCAATAAGTGTCAATGGTGTGATGAACATATTTTAATTTGCCAAATTCTGCAAAGTGGAACACATCCATCTGCCAGATTTCATTCCTTTGGGTGCCCTTTGGATTAGTCCCTGCAGGCAGTGGCATTTGGTTATATAAAGAGCAAGTAGGGCATTTCTTTACAATCTCCTTAGCTTGTTGCCATGTAATTGAAAACTCTTTCTTCAAACCTTTGCTATTAACATGATGTTTTTTTATGAAATTCAGAGGCTTGTAGCACACTACCATTCAATAATTGATCAATTTCTGCATTACCTTGTGCTAGAGGACCTGGCAGACCCGTATGGGATCGGATGTGTGTTATGTACATAGGGCAAAGCCTGTTCCTGATCAAATCTTGAACCTGGAGAAACAATGAGGTTAATTCTGTATCATCAGGTATAAATTCAGCAGTTTCAATATGTAAAATAACTCTTTCTGCATATTGTGAATCAGTGACTATATTAATAGGTTCTTTAAAATCCCTTAGCACCATAAGAATGGCATATAATTCCGCCTTCTGGACAGAATTATACGGACTTTGTTCCACCTTACCCAAGTCTTCTGATTTGTAACCTGCCTTCCCTGATTTATTGGCATCAGTATAGAATGTACGGGCTCCAGTTATTGGAGCATCACGGACGATTCGAGGAAGAATCCAAGAAGTTCTCTTTATGAAGTTAAGCCTCTTGCTTTTTGGATAGTTGTTATTAATGTCTCCCAAAAAATTAGCACAAGCTCTTTGCCATGGTTCATTATCTTCCCATAATTTCTTTAGTTCATCAGCAGTGAAAGGCACTATAATTTCTGCTGGGTCTATGCCTGCTAGTTGACGAAGTCTCAGCTTGCCTTTTATAATTAACTCAGAGACTTTTTCCACATAAGTTTTCAGTTTCTTACTTGGTTTATGTGCTACAAAGAGCCATTCCAAAATAATATCATCTCTCTGCATTAAAATTCCTGTAGGAGAAATTTTTGATGGTAGTATGACGAGAATACAATCGAGCTCTGGATTCACCCTGTTCACATGTGCCTGTTGTAATTTTTCCTCAATCATTGTCAGTTCCTTTTCTGCTTCAGCTGTTAATTCTCTGGGACTGTTTAAATCTTTATCACCATCCAAGGTTTTGTTCAAATGAATTATTAGATCAGGTGTTATTCCAATAGCTGGTCGTAGACTGGAAATGTCTCCTAACAGTCTTTGAAAGTCATTAAGAGTCCGTAGGCGATCTCTCCTGATTTGTGCTTTTTGTGTCTTAATTTTTTGCAAACCTATTTTATAACCTAAATAATTAACAGAATCTCCCTTCTGAATCTTTTCAGGAGCGATTTGCAATCCCCATTTAGGTAAAAGTATCTTTATTTCTTCAAACAGTCTGTTCAAGGTATCCATGTTTGAATCAGATAACAAAATGTCGTCCGTGTAATGGTATACTATAGATTTGGGAAATTTCTTGTGTATTATTTGCAATGGTTGGTTCACAAAATATTGGCACAGGGAGGGGCTATTTAACATACCCTGGGGGAGAACGGTCCAGTGGTACCTCCTCGAAGGTTGAGAATTGTTATAAGTAGGCACTGTGAAGGCAAATTTTTCTCTATCTTCTTTTTGCAAAGGTATAGTGAAAAAACAATCCTTTAAATCAATAACTATGAGAGGCCATCCTTTTGGTAATAAAGAGGGCAAAGGAATTCCGGACTGCAGAGGGCCCATAGGTTGAATAACCTTGTTGATGGCCCTGAGATCTGTCACCATTCTCCATTTACCTGATTTTTTCTTAACCACAAATACAGGAGAATTCCAAGGGCTGGTAGATTCCTCTATATGTCCAGCATCTAATTGTTCTTGTACCAGCTGTTCTAAAGCCTGTAACTTTTCCTCAGCTAAAGGCCATTGCTTTGTCCATATTGGTTTCTCAGTCAACCATTTTAGAGGCAAGGCTGTTGGTATCTCTGAAGGGACATCAATTGCTTGTTCTTGTACAGCCCGAATGGCCGGTTTTCTCCATTTGTAATATCTTTTAATATTATTCTCAGAAATATAGGCTCTAGAAGTAGCAGGAATATTAATTTTGGTATTCCATTTTTGTAATAGGTCACGACCCCATAAATTCATTGCGATATTGGCTACATATGGCCTTAATTTTCCTATTTGTCCCTCTAGCCCTATACATTCAACCCATCTCGTGCTCTGCCTTACTCGAGATAGGGTTCCAATTCCCAGGAGCTGAACATTTACATTCTGAGGAGGCCAGCACGGATGCCAAGATTCTGGGGTAATGATACTTACATCAGCACCCGTGTCCAGCAGGCCAGTAATAAAAATGCCATTTACACACACTCTCAGTTTAGGTCTTTGATCATTTATAGAAGTTTGCCAAAACACACGTAACTTATCTTTCTGATCATTATTGCTTATAACAATAGGCATGGGGCTTCCTAATTGTCCTGATGAGGCACGTTCTCTGCAGAAACTAGAAATGACTGAACCATGTTTGCCATAGGGGCCTGTGAGGCCCCCCTCTTACGTTTCCCAACTGTATGAGGTTGCCTTGTCTATCTCTTGTAGACCTGCATTCATTTGTCCAATGTCTGCCTTTTCCACATCTTCTACCTAAACCTGAAGGCTGAGTCCTATTTCTGTTATTTCTAGAAGATGCATTATTATTATTATTATTATTATTATTATTATTTCTGAAAGATGCATTATTATTATTATTTCTGAAAATCCGTTGTCTACAATTCCTTTTCATATGACCCATTTTGCCACAATTAAAACATTTGGTATTCTGGTGTCTCCTTTTACCATTGGAAATTGCTTCTTCTACCCATGCTTCAGTGCCATAATCAAATGTATCAACATTGAGTGTATGCAAGACCCATTCTTCCAAGGACGCTGATCTGAGCTTTAAAGGCCCCAAAATCCTTTTGCATTCCACATTTGCGTTTTCATAAGCCAGACTCAATCATTATACGTCTTGCTTCTGGGTCAGATATCCCTATTTGTACAGCCTTAGTTAATCTTTGTAAAAAGTCACTAAAGGGTTCTCTCTGACCCTGTTTAACTCTGACAAATGATTCCATTCTCTGTCCTGGGTCTTGTACCCTGTCCCAAGCCCTTAAGGCTGCTGTAGTACACATGGAGAGTGTGTTTTCATCCAAATTAGCTTGTTCCTGATGGTCGGAAAAGAGCCCTTCACCTAGAATTTTATCTAGGGAAATGTCAATTCCCTTCGCTTTTTCCTGCTGTTCTAAGAGTCTAGCCTCTTGCCTGAATAAGCATTTCCATTTCAATTGCGGTCCACTCTCAAGTACCGCAGAGCTCAGCTGGAGCCAGTCCGAGGGGGTTGCTCTGCTTGTCGTGGCCCAAGTTCTTAGCATCTCTTTAACAAAAGAGGCTTGCATCCCAAAAGTCATGACAGCCTGTTTTATTTCCTTGAGATCATTCATACGGACAGGCTCCCATGTATCCTCCTTGATGACCCTAGGGTTTTTGGAACCAATCACCTTCTCTGTTGTTATTACTGGAAAGGCAGGTAGAGCTGTAGGTAGAGCTTTGTGGAAATTGTCCCAGAGAGATTTACCCACAGATGTAGTTAAAATTTGCCTTTCTACCCTTTGCTCTTCTTCATCAGAATTTAGAAATTCCTCAATCTTTTCAATTCTATTCACCATTGCCTTCTGCAATGTCTGAATCTCCTGTCCAGAATTGTGTTCCAAAACCTTCATTGAGGATTCTAAAGTATAAAGTTTGTCCGTTAGAGATAACATCTCATCTTTGGACATAATTTTTATGGCATAAACCATGCCTTCTTGTATTGACAATCTTTCCGTCAATCTGTCATAAGCTTTAGACAAAATCCGATTGTCACATTCAGCAGTTTTGATTCTCTCAGTTAATGTTTCATTTCCTACAGAAGCTTATGATCCTATTCAGCTGTTCCCTCTTCCATAGTAATGAATTTCTTCTTAATATCAGCCACTAATGTTTCAGTTCCTACTGAAAGGGACTGAAGCTTACTATCCAGATCAGCTATTCCCTCTTCCATAGTAATGAATTTCTCCTTAACATCAGCCTAGAGAACTTCAAACTGATTCTTGAGAAGATTGTTGTCATTCTCAATTGTTTTTAAGCGTTCAATCTCTGCCTTAAGAATCCTGGATTCATCTCGTAAAGACTTTATCATATTTCTATTATCAAACCATTTAGTGACAATGAAAACTACGAATCCCAGAAGGATCCATAGATGTGGGGTGATAGACACCTCTTGTAAAATCTCCCACATGGTACAATTAAAAAAAAACTGTTAAATTCTTGAATACTAATGTGTTCAGACATTTTATTTATAAAAGAAAAATTTTTTACCTGCAATGATAGGTTCCTGCCAGTGGTGGTCTCTGTGTTTTTGGAGCCTGTCCTAGAACTAGCTCTTGTAAACCAGTCTGGCCTCGAACTCACAGAGATCCGCCTGTCTCTGCCTCCCAAGTGCTGGGATTAAAGGCGTGTGCTACCACCGCCTGGCAGGCCTCAAACTCACAGAGATCCACCTGCCTTTGCCTCCCAAGTGCTGGTATCAAAGGTGTGCACCACCACCGCCCGGCCAAGTCACTTTGTATCAGACCAAATCTGCCACTGTGGCAGCTTTTGTTGCAAAACCACAAGTACTTGAGCTTCTGCTAATTCAGGCAGTGGGGTTCCGCTGCAAACTTAGCCAAGGCAGGCAGAATGGGCCTGTGTGGCTGAGTGTGTCTCGGACTCGGCACTGGGGCCCGAGTCACGAACTTAAAAACAGCACCCGGGAGGGTGCTGTGTTAGCTAGCAGGCTACCCACTTGAGTCGGGGGCAAAATAGCCCACGTTGGACGCCAAAATGTAATGGCGTAACCGAATGCAGACAGATTGTAAAAAATATATATATAGTTTAATGTAGAAATAGACTTACAGAACCACCGTTCCCGCGGAGACCAGGAAAGCAGAAGCGACGGCTGGGAGCACGCTCACCAAATTTATAGGCAAACATTAGCCCGAGGCGAACACACCCCCCAAGGGGCGGGACTTATCCCTACTTGTTATACATAGAAATACATGGTTCTAGTCAAGGACAACAGCAAACATAGTTACATACAAAGAACTACATAGGGTAAGACAGACAACTACACAGAGACATGCAATTATACATAGCATGGTTACACCCAGAGAAAACCACTGAGGCACACACAATTACCATAGAGACACACTTACAGAGACAATGTTTAGACACACATTACATGTAGTTTCTTAGAAGACTACAGTTACCCACAAAAAAACACAACTGCATGCAGACACAGTTATATAGAGAGACAGCAACTGCATATACAGAGGCACACACAATTACACACACATATAATTACAGTCAGAGACAACATCTATACATATATACACAATTTCAGTAAAGTTACACATGATATATATAAACTCACAGTTACACGGACACAGGTAGATACAGAGACGACCATTACACACAAAGAAGCACAATTCTATACATAAGCACATACAGTTACATGTAAGGATACATATAATATAGTCAGAGATACCATTTGCATACATACATATGCATGCAGTTAACATACAAGATCAAATTGCACACAGAAAAACCCTTAACTACAGATCCATAGACATACAGAGAGACTATTGTCAGACAGAGAGACATAATAATACATAGACACACAGTCACACAGAGACCTGTGGTGAGAAACAAATGACACACAGGTATACAAAGACACAGAGAAACATTTATGCACACAGATTTGCAACACACAGTAACAGTTGGGGTCAAGTTACACAAAGAAAAACACACTCAAACACAGACAGACAGAGACAGTCAGTAATACACCTAGAAATCTGGTACCATGTTGTAGGAGATTGTTCCTGGCTGCTCAGCCCTGAAATAACCACACAGAAATTGTATTAATTAAATCACTGCTGGGTCTATTAGCTCTAGCTTCTTATTGGCTAGCTCTTATATCTTAATTTAACCCATTTCTATTAGTTTATACTTTATCACGAGGATTGTGGCCTACCAGCAAGGTTTTAACTGGCAACTTGTGTCTTTTCCCTCTGGCAGCTACATGGCATCTCCTGACTCTGCCTTCTTTCTCCCAGAATTCAGTTTATTTTTTCCCGCCTACCTCTATTCTGCCCTGTGCAGGCCCAAGACAGTTTCTTTATTCATTAACCAATAAAGGCAACACATAGACAAAAGGACTTCCCTCATTATTTCCCCTTTTCTATTTAAATAAAAAGAAAGATTTTAACTTTAACATAGTAAAATTACATATAACAAAAAGATATTAAGCAAGAATTATGGTTACAATATCTATATCTACTTTATCTTTTATCATAACTAAGAAAAACTATAATTATAACTATTCACAAATGTACACATATACAGAAAAGTTATACACAATACAGTTATAGACAAAGGCAAGTTACATGCAGAGAAACACACTAACACAATATAAAGTTACATACAGAGAAACATAGTTACACATATCACATGGTATGCACAAATTCACAGTTACAGACACAACTAGACACAAAGTTACACAAAGATATACAGTTACAGTCAGAGATGGTAATTACACACATTTATGCACACAGCACATGGTACATACAAACTCACACACAGTTACACACAGACAGACACACAAAACAGAGAGGCCACAGTTACACACTCAGGAACACACACACATGCAACCAGGAAGTCATGGAGTTCATGGTAACACAGAGAAATACATAGTTTCTTCATGCGCTAACCACCCATTTTTACCTGTGCAGATACCCAGACCGTGATCTGTTTCCTGGATGTGCAGGACCAAGATGACAGTGGCATTTCCTGTAGTGCAGAGATTGGAGTTGGTGTCAGCAGAGCGTCTTGTTGTTGTTCCTTGGGTCGGGCCTCGGGAAACCCCTGCAAGCTGTGTCCAGCAGGCAACACCTGTGAGTCCCTGCAAGACAGTGAGCCTGAGCCAGAGACTCAGAAGTTTGCAGGTTATCTCTGCCTGCAGAAGGCTTTGGAGGACAAGGAAGTAGAATCAGGAAGGAAAAGGATCTTCGGTCACAAAGCATGCCCTTGACAGTTCAAAGGCCAGGCTTCTCTCCAATTTTGCTTTCTATAAATTCTCTCTGTGTTTGTATTCAATCCATCACTCAATCAGTCAGCAAACAATGAGTTCCTATATGCCTGTGCTAGGGACTAGGGATCTGGGGAACTGCAGGTCCCATGTAAGGTATGGGTTTGGAGGATGAGTAAAGTGGAAAGAGTGAGGTGCAGTAGGACCAGGATCCCTCAGGATCCACTATCCATGCTCTGGATGGGAATAGATGTTTATACATACACCCCAACACTAGAGTATACTGAATCACTAGGCAGCTCCACAAAGCTGAGGATATGAATCATGGTTGGTTCAGCAAAGCAAAGGAAGGGGGACCCATGTTGCATCTTTTTCAAGGGGCCCGCTCCCATCCACTAGGTTTTACCCAGGTGCCTCTCTTCATAGTTCCTCATGTAAACCTGTTTCCCTTGCAGCAGAGTATAAGACCCTGTGCCCCGGTGGTAAGGGTTTCCGACCAAATCCCATCACTTTGATTCTAGAAGGTGAGTTCCTGACAGACTATTGATCCAGCTACGCACTGATGGGTCTTTCTGTCATTAGCACATTGCCAAGTGTACGGGGGGAATCCTGGGGAAATACGTTCTCCTACTTGGAGGCTTTGTTGCAGAACCAAATTATGCATGAAAATTTTAATCTGTTCTGTCATTTCTTCTGTCAGTTGTTTGTTTATTAATTGAGCTTTCCATCTATCCACTTATCCATCCATCAATTCTTCCATCCATCCAACCACCCAACCTTTCAGACAACCTGTCAATTAGCTAGCCAGCCAGCCTCCATTCACCTATCTACCCATGGATACCTACCCACATACCCATCTATTCCTTCATCTATCCATCCATCCTCCATCTATCTATACCCATTCATCTATCCGGTCATCCATCCACTCATCATCCATCAATCTATCCCATTTCCCACCCACCCATATAATCCATTCATCCTCATCCTATCCATCCACTCACCCATCCACTTAACCACCCATATCGTTCACCCATGCTCTGTCACCATCTGCCTTAGTTACTTTCCTACTGTGATAGAATACCATGACTAAGGCAATCTATAGAAGAAAGAAATTGTTTAAATCTTTTTAGATTCAGAGGTTAGAGCCCATTACCATCATGGCAGGGAGCACGGCAGCAGGCAGGCATAACCTCCTCCAACAAGGCCACACATTCTAATCCTTCCCAAACATTTCAACCAACTGGGAACCAAGTATTCAAATGTTTGAACATAAAGGGTCCATTCTCATTCCGATCACCACACCTTCTACTCATTCATTTACCCCCATTTATCCATCTACCCATCCATCCATTCATCCATCCTTTTCTTATCTATCTATTCATCCATCCATCTCCCGTCCACCCCCATTCAACCATCCATCTATCCATTTCTTATCTATCCATCCATCCATCCATCTGCCATCTACCCCCATCCAACCATTCATCTATCCATTTCTTACCTATCTATTCATCCATGCAGCATCGATCCCTCCATCTCCAAGTTTACATCCACTTTCCATGTACTTCATTGACCCATCTTCCACCTACCAATATCATCTGCCTATCCTCTATCCTTCTTTATTCATCTAACTACTTGCCTCTCTACCCATCCTTCCATTCATCCACATGTGATCTTCTCGTCCATTGGCCTACTTGCACACTCACCCTTTTCATAGCCAATAATCAATCCTTCCATCAATCACTACTTTATATCCAGCCGTCAGTCTTGGGGAATGGTGATGTTAGAAAAGATATTCTAGCCTGAGGAAACTATCATGCATGAGGAGATGAAATTAAGGTGGAAATAAAGGAGTTGGTCTCAGGCCAGCACTGACTCAAGTATCCAGCCATTGAGATAGATCCTCTAAATGCCCAACAGTCATAGAAATAACTATTGGGGGAATACTTTAAAGAGCCCATAAGACCCCGAGCAGCCTGTGGGGATCCCTCAAGTCCTCTGCTGGATTTAGCTCTCCTTCTCAGCTTCCTCCATTCCTGACAGACATCAATGAGTGCCAGGAGCTACCCAGTCTGTGCCAGGGAGGCAACTGCACCAACGCCTTCGGTACCTTCCAATGTGAGTGTCCTCCTGGATACAGCCTCAGTGAAGATACCCGCACCTGTGAGGGTGAGTGTGGACTCTGCCCGGGCTAGGCCGGGCACTTCCTCTCCATCCCTGCCATGATGCTCTGCCAAGCTCTCTAAGGTCAGGGATGCAAGGCTAACTGAATGCCCCGCCTTCCATCCTGTCCAGTCCCCTTCCTTCTTCCTTCTACTCCTTTGTAAATAATATAGCTTCACAGCAACCTTGATATTCCTCTCTTGAGCCAAAGATGACCAAGGTCCATGACTAACTGTGTGGAAAGGTCATGAGAAGGAATGGTCTCACCTTGGCTTCAAATACACTTCACATGTCTCTCTATTGTCCTTGATTGGGCATGTAGTAGTGCCCAACAGGGACTCAGGGCCAGGGCTGTGCTGGAGATCCTAAATTAATATCTATGTACTATAGCGTCCCCATAAGGAAGGGTTTTCTATTATGATCCCACATTTTAGATGTAGAAACTAAGGCTCAAGAGGATTAAGTGACTTCTAGGTGGTGTGGGTCAGCTTGAGTCTGACCATTCTAAAACTGAAGCCTAGGCTCTTTAATATAGTCAACAGGCCACAGCTACCCAGCCGCCTAGACAACTGGATGGATGGATGCATGCATGGATGGATGGATAAATAGATGGTTGAAGATAGATAGATAGATAGATAGATAGATATGAATAGATGGATTTATACCTGATATCAGCTTATGTTGAGATATTACCAGTAGTTGCTTGATCCTTGTGGCTGGTACCTCAGTAACTGAAATAGTCTCACAGCGGCTGGGTCACACTAGAGAGGCCAACAACCTGGTAGTTGCTCCGTCCCTGGTACTGGATGCCTCACTAGTCTCCGTCGGGAGCTAAAAACCTTGAAAGTTCCTGAAGGGCCATCAGTTCTTAGTATGGAAGCCTGGCAATACTGGTTTTACTATCAGATAAAGAATCCTAAGCTGCAGCAACAGGATAAATCAACTCAGAGGCAAGAAGAAAGGTCAGGTGAGCAGTAGGCAAGTTATCTTCCTCCTGCTACACCCTTTCTATCAGGGATGTGCCCAGAAGGTGCCGTCCACATTTTGAGTAGGTCTTCCCACATCAATTAAGGCAATTGGGACAATCCTTCCGGTGAGGCTTCCTACTCGTGTGCTTCTCATGTGTGGCATTAATACCAACCATGACTGTCATGGCGTACCATGTCCACAATATACTGTTGGATTCCATCTATTGATGTGCGTGCGTGTGTGTGTGTGTGTGTGTGTGTATGTGTGTGTGTGTGTGTGTAAATCCTAAAGACTTTAATTTTGTGTTTACAAATGCAGTTCTCGTGGAAGCCAGAAGAGGGCATCAGATACCCTGGAGCTGGCTCAGTGAATGCTCTCCAAGAGCAGCACATGCTCTTAACCACTGAGCCATGTGTCCAGCTCCTCTTCTAGAAATGTATTCATGTCCTCTTATCAACCTGATTTAGGGGCAGCAAGCAATTATCCATTCTATAGTCTTATGATTCCTGAGTTTCTGTATGGTTGGAAGTAATGGCCCCACTTCACGTTTTCATTGCTCTTAGTCTTTTTCATATTGTCTCTTAGTGAGATAGGATATCGTGACCAAGAAACAAACAAACAAAACCATCACAGTGTCAGTGTGGGCACTCATGCCACAATGTGCACGTGACAGCCAGAGGACAGCCTTGGGTCAGTCTTTGCTTCCTCCTTATCTAAGACAGGGTCTGTTTGCTCCGTGTTCTCCAGGATAGCTACCAGAGCTATTTTGGGATCTGGGGATGCAGACTCAGATCCTCATGTGTGTGCAACAATCGCCACCTTCCTGGCCCAAATATCTGTATGATTTTAAACTAGTGAAACCAAATAGAAGTCTTTTATATTTTCTATTTCACAAATAGAAGTGATGACAATAAAGTGTCTTCACTCGGCCTGGGGTAAGGAACCCCCTGGGGAGTTACCCAGACAGTCTCTGACATTTCTCACGTGTCCTCTTCCACCCTTCCCTCTTCTGCAGATATCGGTGAATGCTCCACACACCCAGACACCTGTAGCCCAGGCTACAGTTTAGGCAATCACACCTGTATCTGCCCCGCAGAGTTCCTGCAGGTCAGCAGTGGCAACCACTGTGTGGGTAGGAAGTGTGATGACTTGGGCTTGAGGGGTGGAAGGCTAGTGGTTGCTATGGGAAGGACTGCAAAGACCCTCAGAGCCTTGGAAGGTGCAGAGAGAGGTATATTTGAAAGAAGAAACAGAGTACATCTGCATGTATTTGATGTGCTTATATGTGACAAAATGATACCCCAGGACTTGGGAGCCCAGAGTAGCTGCGAGTGGTCCTCCCAGGCCATGCACTGGTCAACAAAGGCTTAAAGAGATTGGAGAAAAGACCTTAAGCCAAAGTGTTAACATAAATTCATGGATAAATCTCCTCTCCAATCTGCATCCTTACTCTGGCTTGGACCCGTTCCCAATCTTTTCTTTTTCTCCTTACCTATTATTTACTTATTACATGGGAAATGGGGGCTGTGTGGGCATTACGGCACACACGTAGAGGTCAGAGGACAACTTGCAGGATCAGTTCTTTCCCCTTCAACTGTGTGAGCCCAGGAGTCAAGCTCAGGTTGTCAGGCTTGGTGGTAAGCGCCGTTCCCAGCTGAACCATCTCGCCAGTCTGCGGCCCGTGTTCTTTACTCCCACTTCAGCTGCAGACACGAGAAAGAGCATGCGTTTCCGGCACTGTCATGGAACATGTGGGAACACGCTGAACTTCAGTGTGACCCGGAGGATGTGTTGCTGCTCCACAGCGTGGGGCAGGCCTGGAACAGACCCTGTGTAACCTGTCCCACCCCTGCCAACTGTGAGTGCCCCAACCACTTTCTCAGTCTGGCCCCTCCCAGCACAGTACAGAGGGATACATGGTAGAGTTCGAGGCTTCTAGCCTTTAATTATCTGCTTTATTCTCTGTGGGTACCACACAAGTGGGTGTATCTTCATGCGGTATATGCATGTGTGGGTATCCGATTGTGGGGGCCCAAGATCTACTTGGGGTGCCACTTTTTTACAAGCCTTCTACCTTGATTTTGTTTGTTTGTTTGTTCAAACACAGCCCCCAAAGATCCACCCACCCCCAAAGGCCCACTTACTTGAGTTAAGCCCCCCTCTTAAATATTCCACAGCCTCCCAAAGCAGCACCACCAGCTGGCGACCACGTATTCAAACACCCGAGCCTGTGGAGGGACATTGCACATTCAAGTCGTGGCACTAAATGCGAGGTTATAGTTGAGACTAGTTCTTATCAACAATAGGAGGTCAGGCTTGGAGAGATGAGTTAGCAGTTAAAAGCATGCACCGCCCTTCCAGAGGATCCGAGTTTGGTTCCCAGCACCTCTGTCAGGTGGCTCCCAGCTACCTCAAACCCGGTGCCTGGGGATCTGGCTCCCTCTTCTGGCCACCACCGGCACCTGCATTCATAGACTCAGACATATATACATATACACATAATTTAAAATAAAATAATCCTTAAAAGAAAAAAATAGTGGTTTTGATCTGGATTTTAATTTAGGGGTTCTTTTTGTTTTGTGATGCTGGGCTCTGAACCCAGGGTTTTATTCGTGGTAGGCAAGCTCTCTACCACTGAACTTCATCTCCAGCCCAAATACACGTTTATTTAGTTTGCAGTGCAAAAGGCTTAGAAGCTCAGTGTAAAGGCACCAGCATCTGGAGGCGGGGGGGGGGGGGCTATCTACTGCATCCCAGTATGGTAGAGGGTGTCACAGTGTGCCGCAGAGCAAGAGTGCCAGTTTGGGTGTCTTTTCTCTTCTTTGAAAGCCACAATGCCACCTTGAGGCCCCACCCTCCTGGTCCTGCTTACTTCCCCTAAGCCCCTTCTCCAAACATCCTCAGCGTCCAACCTTAGGACTTAGGTTTCTAACAAGGAAACTTCTGGGGGACATACTCTAAAGATAGCTCTAGGGAAGGCCAGGGAAGAGGCTCCTCTCTGGCAGCTCAGAGACTCATACTGAGACATGTCGGTTGTGCTGGTTTCATTTCTGTTGTAGCAGTAAAATATCCTGACAAAAAGCAGCTTAGAGGAGCTTGTTGTGAGTTTATTTCAGTTGGCAACTTCAGGATTTGGTCCTCCATTGCAGGGAAGTCTTGGTTGGTAGCTAAAGATGGAAAGCATGCATTCTTAGTGTGCGGCTCACCTTCTCCGCCCACACAGCCCACAAACCAGGGGACAGAGGAGCCTGGTTCCAGATTGGGTCTTCCCACATCAAGAAAGGCAGTGAAGACAATGCCCAGAAACATGCTCAAAGGCCACCTTGATCTAGGCAGTCCTTCATTGAGACTTTCTCCCCAGTTTAATCCAGGTTTTTATGAAGTTATAATAAAACTAACCATCACATAGGAACATTGGGGGCTTAAATGCAAGAATCTTTCTTGCGGGAATGTTGGGGGCTGGAATGAGAGTCTTGAGGTAGTAACTGAAGAGTGTGTGTGTGTGTGTGTGTGTGTGTGTGTGTGTGTGGTGTGTGTGTGTGGTGTGTGTGTGCGGTGTGTGTGTATGTGTGGTATGGGTGTACGTGGTGTGTGTGGTATGTATATTAGTGTGTGTGTGGTGGGTGTATATGTAGTGTGTGTGTGTGTGGTATGGTGTGTGTGTATGTATGTGTGTGTGGTGTGATGTGTGTGTGGTGGGTGTGTATGTGTGTGGTGTATATGTGGTGTGTGTGGTGTTTGTGGTGTGTATGGGGTGTGGGGGGTGTGGGGAGTGTGTATGTGGTGTGTGTGTGTGTTGGGTGCGTGTGTGTGTGTGTGTGTGTGTGTGTGTGTGTGTGTGCCGGTGTGGGTGTATTTACTGGTACATGCACTTGTGGACGCCAGTAGTTGACATCAGGGTGTCTTCTTCAGGCAAGTCTCCACTCTAGTTTTTTAGAGCTCCTCATTTATTTTGGCTAGAGTGGCTGACCAGGAAGACCCAGAGGTTTGCCTGCCTCTGCCTCCCTCATGATGCTAGAAACAAGCATGCACCACCCACCCAGCTTTTATACATGGCTCTGTGATTTAAGCTCAGATCTTCGTGCTGCAGAGGCCTGCACTTCATCAGCTGAGCCACCTCCCTGGTTCCCTCTTTAACAAGGGTTATAAGCATGGCTGGTGCTTTCTCCAGAGGAAAACATGCGGGAAGTCTCCCACCTGTGTTCTGGGAAGTACCCTGAATAGACTTGGGGCAGCCTTGAACCCAGAGATAATCAACACAGAGTAAAGGAAGGTGGGAGGCCAGGCAAGGGCTGGCTGTGGGTGCGTGGAGGTGCAGCACTCAGGGTGGGCAGCGGTATGGTCTGGGGTTCTGTTTTTCTCCACCCAGCTCCTCTGTGGAACTAAGTGCCAGGGTTCATCACTGACATCCGCATGGCAAAGTTTCTTGGTGAGAAACCTTCTACCTACAGCCTCAGATTCCTTCACCCAGCCCTTTCCCTTCCTACTGCCTCTTTCCTTTCTCCCTTCCCTCTTCATTGTTGGCTCCTACAAGTACCTGTGCTTCCCTAGCCCTGTGGCAACCCACAACAGTAACTGTGCAGGTGAGCTGCCTGGGTTGGTGGATAAGTGGCCCTATGACTGGGACCCAGGACTCAGTAAGTAAAGGCAATTTCCACCAAACCTAGTAGCCTGAGTTCAGTCCCCAGTGATCGATTCTCTCTGACCTCTAAATATGATTCATAGTACACACATAAAATAAATAGATAAAACATAATTTAAATAAGAATAGGTGTGGGGAAAGTCACCCAATCACTACAGGCAAGAGATCTGAGTCCCAGAGCAACTTCCAGCATGTCTCAGGGGAATCTGCTGTAGTATCTAGGTTCCTGTGTCTCATGGCAAAGAACTAGACCAGGGACACATGGTTAGAAATAGAAATAGAAGGCTGGAGGCGTGGAGCCCTGACTGCTCCTCTAAAGGACTCAGGTTCAATTCCCAGAATCCACACGTAGACTCACAACCAGTTCCAGAGGATCTGACACTCATTTCCCGCCTCCAAAGGAACCAGGAATGCACATGGTGTAAAGACATATGAAGGCATACACACAAAATAAACACATAAATAAAATTTAAATTATTTTTAAGATGTATTTTTTTGTTTTGATTTAGGGTTTGATGTTTTTGATTTTGTTGTTTTGGTTTTGGTTTTGGTTTTTCAAGGCAGAGTTTCTGTATAACTGGACTGACTATCCTGAACTCATTTCTTAGACCAGGCTGGCCTCAAACTCAGAGAGATCCATCTGCCCCCGCCTTGTGAGTGCTGGGATTAAAGGTGTATGCCACCACTGCCTGACTTAACATTTACTTTTTAAGAACTTTTTCTTTTCCTTCCGAGATTATCATATAATTACATTATTTCTGCCTTCCCTCTCCTGTCCCCAAATCCTCCCATGTACCCCTCCTTGCTCTCTCTCAAGCTCATGGCCTCTTCTTTTGTTAATAGTTGCATATGTGTTTATGTCTATTCATATATATTCCTAAGTATGTCTGTATCAGACTGCATAATGTTACTTTTATGTGTGTTTTCAGGGCTGACCGTTTGGTATTGGATAACCAATTAGTGTTCTTCTGCAGGGAGGACTATTTCTCCCATCTCAGCATTCCTCAGTAGCCTGTAGTTCTTTGTTTAGGGTTGAGGTCTCCTGGGCTTTACCCTGTCCACTTTGCCTTATCTATTGTTCTTTGTCTCTGTTCAGCTTATGTTTGATGAGACTTTATGGGTATAGTTTCAGACATTACTAGGAAATACAATACCACAGCAAATTTCTTGATCCCTTAATCCTCTGGTTCTCACAATCTTTACACCTCCTATTCTGCACTGTTCCCTGAGTTGTGTAGTAGATGTATCCATTGGGATTGGGCTCCACAGCTCTGCGTTTAGACTGGTTGTAGTTTTCTGGAGTGGTCTCTGTCTCTTGCACTGGGAAGCTTCCTTGATGAAGGGTGAAGATTACACTTATATGTGAGTAAAAAGACAAATATTTAGAGTGTAATTGGGGATCATGCCAGTTTAGTAAAGTGGTGGTTACAGGCTCTCCTTCTGAGATTCATGACTTCACTAAAATCGAATTATTGGCTAGGTTTCTAGTCCCAGGCATGGTCTCCCTCTTGTTGAATAAGTCATAGGTCCAATTAGAGAGCCGTTGGTGACCACCAAGGTATGTGTGCCATTACCACCCCTAGGGTTATCATGACAAGTTGGTCACTGTTGTAGATTATGGGAGTCATAGCTGGGTAGGACTGTCGGTTACTTCCTCCTTTGGCACCTTCTGATCCCATGAAAGCTAGCCCTCAGAGGGGCCATTCAAGTCAGTTCCAGCGCTGGGTCATCTGGTCCTTGCACCTGAATGCATGATATGTCTCCAGCAATAGGGACTTATCTTCTGCCTCTGGGGACAACAGCAATGGCCTAAAAGGTTTTGTGAGTCTCTTGAACAGCCCTCGAAACAACTCTAAAGACGACTTTCTTGTGTCTGGTACTGGAATTTTTGTTAGTTGGTTTGGGGTTCTTGGAGGGATAGTTTTCAATTTTATTTATTTAAACTTTTTTTATACAAAACTATGGAATGCTTCACATGTTTGCATGTCATCCTTGCACAGGGGCCATGCTAATCTTCTCTGTATTGATCCAATTTTAGTACATGTGCTGCTAAAGCAAGCACTTATTTAAACTATGTAAGTATTTCTACAACCAGACTTACAGATATTATAGTGGTTTTTCAGGTAAGTGGTTAATAGTATGATTTCTTATGATCTTTTTCAGATATCCTTACTGTTATTTTACCTTCCTCCCTTCTCCTGTGTTTATCTCACTCCCTTCCCTAACCAGAGTCCCCTTTTCCCCATTTCCCTGACCAGATCACTTGTATCCAACTATTCCTCTGTTCAGTTGCTCTCCCACACCAGCATTGGTCCCTTTTTTCCTTTCTTGCTTTCTTCAGTTACTCCAGGACATGTCCTCACATCTGAAGATTTGGAGCTAGAGAGTGTGCAGTGTCTGTCCTTCTGGGTCTGGGTCTCCAGTGAGAGAGAACGTGCAGTGTCTGTCCTTCTGGGTCTCCAGTGAGAGAGAACGTGCAGTGTCTGTCCTTCTGGGTCTCCAGTGAGAGAGAACGTGCAGTGTCTGTCCTTCTGGGTCTCCAGTGAGAGAGAACGTGCAATGTCTGCCCTTCTGGGTCTCCAGTGAGAGAGAACGTGCAGTGTCTGTCCTTCTGGGTCTGGGCTACTCACTCAATATGATCTTTTCTAGTTTCACTCATTTACCTGCAAAGTTCACGATTCCACTTTTCTTTACATAAATAGTATTCCATTGTGCATATGTACCATATTTTCATTATCCACCTGTCAGTAGAAGGGCATTTAGGTTGTTTCCATTTCCTAGCTTATTGGGCATAGAGCCACAGCAAACATGACTGAATAAGTATCTGTGGAGTAGGATGTCAAGTCCTTTGCTCATATCCAAGCAGAGGGAGAGTTCCTTTATTTTATCTTTGAGACCTGATATTTTGTCTTCTGTTTGATTCATTTTTACATGTAAGACCTTCTTGGATTTTTGCTTTTCCATATAAAGTTGAGTACTGTTCTTTCAGGGTCTGTGAAGAATTTTGCTGGGGTTTTGATGGGGCATTGCATTGAATCAGTAGATTGCTTTTGGTAAGACTGCCATTTTTGCTATGTTAAATCTACTTACCCAAGAGCATGGGAGATCTTTCCACTTTCTGTTCTCTTCTTTCATTTCTTTCTTCAAAGATTTAAAGTTCTTGTCATACAGGTCTTCCGTTGGTTTGGTTAGAGTTACTCAGATATTTTACGCTATTAGTGGCTATTGTGAAGGGTGATGTTTCTCTGATTTCTTTATCAGCCCATTTATCATCTGTGTAAAAGAAGGCTACTGATTTTTTTTGAGTTAATCTTGTATCCTGCTACATTACTGAAGATGTTTATGAGTTGTAGAAGTTCTTTGGTAGAATTTTGGGGGTTGCTTATGTAAACTATTATATCATCAGCAATAAGTGAGAGTTTGACTTCTTCTTTTCCAATTTGTATCCCCTTGACCTCCTTTTGTTGTCTTATTTCTCAAGCTAGAACCTCAAGAACTATATTGCATAGACATGGAAAGAGTGGACAACCTTGTCTTGTTCCTTATTTCAGTGGGATCACTTTGAGTTTCTCTCCATTTAGTTTGATGTTGGCTATTGGCTTGCTGTATATTGTCTTTATTATGCTTGGGTATGTTCCTTATATCCCTGCTCTCTCTAAGACCTCTATCATGAAGGGATATTGTATTTTGTTGAAGGCTTTTTCAGCATCTAATTAGATGATCATGTGGTCTTTTTTTTCAGTTTGTTTATATGGTGGATTACATTGACAGATTTTCATATGTTGAACCATCCCTGCATCTCTAGGATGAAGTCGACTTGATTATGGTGGATGATTTTTCTGATGTGTTCTTAGATTCAGTTTGCCAGTTTAAATTGAGAATTTCATACATGCATATGTGTTTTTGATCAAGTCCACCCCCAGCTCCCTGCCGTGCACCTCCTCCCATATCCCACCACCACTTTCCCTCCCATCTCCATGTGCTCTTGGAGTGCATTTACTGTTGCCCATACGTGGGTAGGTGTGGGGTCATCTACTAGAACACAGGCAACCTATTAGGAGCCATATCCTGGGTAAAAACTGACACCCTCCTTCTGCAGCCAGCAGTTGCCAACAGCTCTTCAAGTGGGGGTGGGAATTCATGATTTCCTTACTCATCCATCTTATTTATTGTAAAGGTATTTAAAAAGAAGAAGAGCTGACTATAGTTTAGGGCAAGGTCATCCTGCAAACGGGAAATTTATGAAATAACAAATAGCAGATATACCAAATGGATGCATGGAAATCTTGAAGGGAACCTGCAAGCAGCTCATAAACCTTGCTCCCTGCTTCCCTCCAGGTTCATAAAACCAGCAAGAACAAACAACCCTTCCTTCCTCTGCTGCCCCGGTGTTCCAGAGTCTCAGCTTTTCCCTTAGACCCAAAACTGTCCCTGAAAGGGCTTGGCCCCCAAATCGCCTGCAGATGTTGGCCAAAGACCTCAGGGAACACTCCACCTCCTCTCTGGCACTGAATTCCTCTTCTTTTCTCCTCCACAGATATTGATGAGTGTCTGAGCCTGCCAGGGACCTGTCTTCCAGGCACCTGTCAGAACTTGAAAGGCTCCTTCCAGTGCATCTGCCCCCCTGGCTTCCAGGTGCAGAGTGGCCATTGTATTGGTGAGTGTCCAACCTCCTACCAGAGTGCAGGTGCACAGAGCACAGGACCAAGTGCAGCTCCATTACTATCAGAACTGTTCTGGGGCTCCTGGTTCAGGCCTTGCTCTCAGGGCTCAGAGAATTCTTTGTGATCACTGTAAAATATACTTGGTTTCAGTATCATTGTACTTCAGAAACTCCGTAGAATTCTGGTCCACAAGAATCATGTCATATACTTTAAACTAATTAGTCTAACTTGATCTTAACTAACTAATTCACCAGGTTAGTCTTATATAATATATGCTAACCTGGACTAGAATGTCTGAGCAGGTGGATTAGCCTATGGGCAGAAATATAAGGAAAGCTCAATAACCTTGGGGTCTATGGTGACCCTACTCTCCCATCTCCCACTGCAGATACTGATGAGCCCACCTTAGAGGGGCAAATATGTCAGTTTGCCCATGATCTGAACCAATCTGGCCCAACTGCTGATAATCCAGTCTTCCATTTGTACTAACCTTTTACAATCTGGGCCAGTTTGACCTGCCAACATCTATTTTCCATTTAGGCTAGCCTTGTATAACCTGGGTTAACAAGCCATTCTGGCTTCAGCAAATTCACTGTTGTGTATAGAATGAACTCATTTAGACCAGTTCAGTCTGGTATTTTCTAATTTATTCTATCTAGTCTAGCCTGGCACATAAGCTAACTCCAACTAGTATAGGCAGAATATCTCTAGTCTTGATTAACTTTGCCCAGTTTTCAGTCTCTCTAATGATGACATGACTCTGCAGGTAAAGGCACTAGCTTCCAAGCTTGAGTTCTGTCTTTGGAATTCACCCAGTGGAAGAGAAAACTGATTCCTGGAGGTGTTCTCTGACCACCACATGTGTAGACACAAAATAAATACAAGTATAATAATTGTTGTTTTGGAGGCAAGGTCTCACTATGTTGCCCTGGCTATCCTGGAACTCTCGATGTAGACCAGACTAGTCTGCAACTTACAGACATCCTCCTGCCTCTGCTTTCTGAGTGCTAAGATAAAAGGTGTGCACCACCATACCCAGCATTTTTTTAGATGAACTTCAGAGTCTGGAGAGGTGGCTCAGCAGTGAGCCTACTGCTCTTGCAGAGGACCAACACCCCCATCAGGCAGCTGACAACTGCTAGCTCTAGAGAGATCCAGGACCTAAGGCCTCCACAGGCACCTGTACTCACACGCACATGCACATGTGAACACACACACACACAAACAGGCACACAGAAATAAATTTAAAAGAAGAACTCCTGAACATGACCCCTACTCTAAACATAAAGACCTCTACATACACACTGCCCACCTAGTGGTGACTCCCTCCGCAACCACCAGCCCCCACCCTGCGTCCATGCTTAGGAGCACATTGGAGAGCTAAACTCCCCCCACTTTGCTGGAGATACAGTTACCCCCATCTCAGCTCCCATCACTGCCTCTGCAGATACTGATGAATGCTTGGAGGAGCCCAGCCTCTGCTTTCTTGGCACCTGTGCCAACAGTCCTGGGACCTTCCGGTGTCTCTGCCCTTCTGGCTTTGTCCTCTCTGACAGTGGACACTACTGTTTTGGTGAGTGTTGTGAGAAATATAAGCAAATGCCTGTTCCAGAGCCTACAGTTCAACTTAGCCAGTATCAACCATGAAGGGAACATAGGGCCCACTGGTAAGTCATACCCCAGCCTGCCAGTAAGAACTCAGGCTGATGGGCTGGAGGCTGAGGGGCTGCCCTACCAGGTCTTCCAACCCTCTGAAAATGATCTTTGTCATTCTAAGAGAACTCTGATTCAAAAGCAATGGGTGGAGTTTACCTATTCTACCCAACACAAGGGCCACGTTGAAAGTTTGTCAGCAAGACGCATGCACACACACAAAAAGTGGCTTGAAAGACTGCTGGGAAGAATTCCCAGCTCATTCTCATTGGCCCAGAGTTCATCACGGGTTCACTCCCAAGCAATTGGGTCTAGCCAGGTGTGTGGCGTATTTTCATTGGGTGCTAGTAGGAGCAGGGTTGCCCGTTCACTAAGGTTGGGATAAGGAAGATTAGCCAGTCAGGTGCAGCGCCTATTACGGTCCCCACCTCCCTCTCCGCAGATATTCGCCAGAGTTTCTGCTTCACCCGGTTTGAGGCCGGAAAGGGTTGCCCGTTCACTAAGGTTGGGATAAGGAAGATTAGCCAGTCAGGTGCAGCGCCTATTATGGTCCCCACCTCCCTCTCCGCAGATATTCGCCAGAGTTTCTGCTTCACCCGGTTTGAGGCCGGAAAGGGTTGCCCGTTCACTAAGGTTGGGATAAGGAAGATTAGCCAGTCAGGTGCAGCGCCTATTATGGTCCCCACCTCCCTCTCCGCAGATATTCGCCAGAGTTTCTGCTTCACCCGGTTTGAGGCCGGAAAGTGTTCAATGCCCAAAGCTTTCAACACCACGAAGACCCAGTGCTGTTGCAGCAAGAACCCTGCAGAGGGTTGGGGGGAGCCCTGTGAACTATGCCCTCAGAAGGACAGTGGTGAGTCCCAGCCACCCATCCTCTCTCCCTCCCTACGCTTTCTCCCTCCTCCGTTCTTCCCTCACCCTTCTTAGATACTGGGGACTGTTGTGCTGACACCCCCCCCCTCGACTCTTCTAATCCCACTTACCATTCTCTTTCCAGTTACTTTTCAGGAGCTCTGTCCCTTTGGCCATGGGGCTGTCCCAGGCCCAGATGGCTCCAGAAAAGGTAAGGCTTTCTTCTGGGTTCTAGGAACCCCTTTATTCTGTCTCAGCTCTGCATGGTTCCTCAAGCTTTGGAGTCTACAAGTTGCCCTGGAATCTACTCAGTGACCGGTGGACAGGCACTGTGTCTCAACCCTGCAGATGTGAATGAGTGTTCAGAGAACCCTGGCATCTGCACTGATGGTCCCTGTGTCGACACTGACGGCTCCTTCCATTGCAAGTGTCCCTTTGGCTACAGCCTGGACCTCACCAGCATCTCCTGCGTTGGTGGGTAGCTAAGGAGCCCTTCGCCAACCACTGTCACTTTCCTCATCCACGCACTCTCCTATCCTACCTTAAGTCCTGCAGAGGTGATAAAATATCCTAACAAAAAGCAATATAGGGGCGGGGGGGGGTGGTGACACACATCTTTAATCCCAGCACTTGGGAGGGAGAGGCAGGTGGATCTCTGTGAGTTCAAGGCCAACCTAGTCTACAGAGTGAGTTCTTGCACAGCCAGGGCTACTCAGAGAAAACTTGTCTCAAAAAGTGGGGGGGGGGGGGTATTTCAGCTCACAATTATAGTCCATCATAGTGGGGAAGTCACGGCAAGAACTTCAACTAGTCCCATGATATCCAAAGGCAGGAGCAGAGAGAAATGAATGGGTGCATGCTGGCTTAATTGCATGTGCTCAACTCTATATCTCCACTCTCACACAGTTCAGGACACTATGTCTGGGGAAGAGAGCAGTCCACAGTGGGCTGGGTCTTCCCCCCAGATACGCCCACAGGCCAGTCTGATGTAAACAATCCCGTGCTGAGACTCTCTCCCTAGGTGTGTCAAGTTAACATAAAAGCTAAGCCTGCCTCCTCCTTTCCAATTCTCATTCACTTATTCTTTCTTTCTTTTTTTAGTTTATTAGATTTTTTTTAAAAATACCAATCCAAGTTCCCACTCCCTCCCATCCTCCCACTCCCTTCACACACTTTTCCACCCCACCCCCATCCAGTCCTCAGAGAGGGCAAGGCACATTGCTTTGTGGGAGGTCCAAGGCCCTCCCCACCATATCCAGGCTGAGCAAGGTATAATCCAAAGAGAATGGGATCCCAAAAGGCCAGTACATGCAGCAGGGATAAATCCTAGTGCCACTGCCAGTGGCCCCTCAGTCTGCCCCAGACATACAACTGTCAACCACATTCAAAGGGACTAGTTTGGTCCTATGCATGTTCCTTCCCAATCTGCTGGAGTTGGTGCGCTCCCATTAGCTCAGGTAGACTGTTTCAGACATTCACTTGTTCTCTCATTTGCTCATTCATTTCCCATTGTTCGTGCATTCGTTCACCAGCGTTAGAGTTGATTCACCCATTTGCTTAATTGTTCGTTCATTTGATCACTCGTTTACTTGATCATTTGTTCACTTACTCAATTAGTCCGCACTCATTCACTAATTCATCTCTCCATTTTATCCTCATAGTCATTCACTCATCCAGGCTCCACTGGTTCATTCTTCCCTTGGCTTCTCCTTGTTTATTCATTCATCTCTTGTTCATTCAGCTGTTCGTTTCCCGTGCGTTCATTTAGGTATCCAACTAATCATTAATTCATCCCTCCATATTCTCCCCTTACTCTTTACATAAGGAGACCCCTGTGGGGGAGGTATTTGCCCAAATGTCATTGAAGTTTCAAATGCGCATGTACTTTGAGGCTTTGGGCCTGGCCCTATGATGATCTGTGACAGTACGATGCTTCCTGAGCAGGATCAGAACTGTATAACAGGGATTCTCTAGGGCTGATCCGTAGGAGGCACCAGGGGTACCTCAGGGAGAGCCTGCCCGGATGAGACCTCTGCTGACCTCCACAGACATTGATGAGTGCTCCCTGAATCCACTGCTCTGTGCTTTCCGCTGCCACAACACTGAGGGCTCCTACCTATGCACCTGCCCAGCTGGCTACACACTGAGGAAGGATGGCGCCATGTGCCAAGGTAGGGTCTGCACAGACTGGCAAGGGGAAGGGCTCTCTGATTCCCCACCAACGATCTTATGCTCTCCACTGTGTAGTAACATCACACCAAAACTGGTCCTGACATCAAACAGATCCAGATGTGGTCTCAGCACTTTGGTTTCCTGTCTTTAAATGGAACTGAGCCCCAGAGGGTAAAAGTGAGCAGCAAAAAAAGCTCACACAGAAGACAGCTGAACTAGGGCATGAAGTAGACACTTGGTTTTTGAAGGAGACATGTTTTTTTTTTTTTTTTTGCATCTTTGGAGAAGCAGTAGCTTTTTTGCTGTAACTGATTGGTACAGACTGGGTAATTGATAAAGAACAGAAATATGGGACAAGATTGATGGCTCAGTGACTAAGAGCACTTGCTGTACTAGCATGAGGACTTGAATTCAGACCTAAGCACCCACAGCAAGATCTGGGTGTGGCCACATGAAGGCCTTTAACCCCAGCACTGTAAAGCCAGAAGGGTCCATGGGGCTTGTTGGCTGCCAGCTTAACTCTAGGTCCAGTAAGACCATCTCAAGTAAAAAAAAGAAAGCAGAGTGTGACAGAGCAGGATATGTGACAGTCTCCTCTGATCTCTGTGCATGTACATGGATATGCACACCTATGCACATGTGTGTATATAACACACACACACATGGATAACAATATATTTGGATCATGGTTCTGGTGAGGGTCTCCAAGTGGCATCATGATATGGCACAAGACATCACAAAGCAAGACATATCGAGGTGCTAAATCAAGTCTGTTCTTACAACCCCACTGAAACCGTGATGGGAGACCCATCCTCATGACCTCATCTAATCCTATCACCTCCCAAAGACCCCAACTCTAAATACCAACCCTATAAAGCTTTAGGGTTGTTTGTAGCACATGAACTTCTGCTAGGGTATGGAATCTAGGCTCTTCCCATCTGGAGCCAAGCTGTGGAAGGCATGACCTTGACTTACCCACTATCCCTGGTCATCCAAAGATGTGGATGAGTGTGCAGATGGGTCTCCGGATTGCCACACCCGAGGCATGCTGTGCAAAAACCTCATCGGCACCTATGCCTGTATCTGCCCTCCTGGCATGCAGCTCCAGCCCTCTGGGGAGGATTGCACAGGTACGTGGTGCTTCTAGGGCACAGGGAAAGCTACATGGAGGGGAGAATTCAAAGGAAGGGGGAACTTTCAAGGCCAAAGGCAACTGGCTTGGGGACTTTGGCCTCCCCTTCTGGCCTGCTTTATCCCTTCCATCTCAGATGAGGATGAATGTCAGGCCCAGTCCAGCCTCTGTTCACATGGTCGCTGCATCAACACAGTGGGAAGCTTCCAGTGTCATTGCGATGAGGGTTTCCATCCCAGCCCCACCCTCACTGAGTGCCATGGTGAGTGTAACCAGGAACAAGCAAGGTGAACAGAGACTTGTGAGGTCTGGGACAGGGATGAGGTCAGGAACACTAACAAGACATGGAAGGAATTGCTGTACCATTATCAATATAGATGCATGAGCCTACACACACTCTGTAGAAGAGGTAATTCCTCACTGTCCTCCCCTTCCTCCTATTTTTTCCCATCCACCTCTATGACTCCTGTAACCTTAGAGGCACCAGCCCAGAATGATCTCTCCTTGGGTTTCCCACAACAACCTAAGAACTGAACCCAGCAGAAGACCTTGACAGTACCTTCTATGTTAGGCACCTGTCCATTACTGATCGCATCCTCTTCTCTCTTCTTCATGGATAAAGTACATCCCTTAGCTTCAGGCCAAATGATATTTATCTCCTTGACACCCTATTCCCATCCCCCAACACTGTAGCTTACCCCAAAACCAACTCAGCTTCTTTGCCCCCAAATCCCATCTCAGTGGTTGGAATACCCTGCACTGGCTTTCTGGAGTGACCAGTAGAGACTTCCAGTCTGTATTTAGCCCTCACTTCCCACCTATCTCTGATCTTATTTTTTATTCTATTTAATTACACTGTTTGTTATCAGTATTGAGGTTTTGGGGACCATTGTGTATAAGTGTCCCATGGCACGTGTGTGGAGGTTGGCTATTTCTTTCTACTTTGTGGATCCTAAGGATCAAACTCAAGTTAGTCATCACACCAGGCCTGATATTTTTCTCCTCTGTCTCTGTTGTTCTATCCCAAGCATCAACTCTTCCTACCCCCATTCCCCTGCTTACCTGCTGCCCGTTAATTGTCCTTTTTCACAAAGACACTACCCTCCATAGAGGCCACCTAACCTTCAAAACCTATCCCAGAGCTAACATTGATATTTGGGGAGGTGGGTAGCTTTTGTCCCAGTCCATTGAAGCAAGTGGGTGTTACCTGACCCATTCAAGGGTGTTTTACAATGCCCAGTGCCAACAGGAAGATGGTCCCCTATACACATATGCCTGACTTCCAGGCACAAAACAGAAGAAGATCCTGGGCAAGGCAGTTTTTCACCCACCCTTCCTACCAATTCTCTGCAGATACTCGGCGGGGGCTCTGCTTCTCCGAGGTGCTACAGGTCATGTGCCAGAGTTGGTCAAGCAGTGGTGAGGCTGTACCCAGAGTCGAGTGCTGCTGCGGAGGTGGCCGGGGCTGGAGCCCCCATTGTGAGCTCTGCCCCTTGCCTGGCACCTCTGCCTACAGGAAGCTCTGCCCTCATGGCAAGGGCTACAGCACCGAAGGCCAAGGTAAGTTCTCTTGAGGTCGTGTTGAAGCTATGTGACTGTGCTACAATGATGTGAGCTACTCTGTGTGCATTTGCAAGTGTGTGCATGTGTGTGTGTGTGTGTTCCAATGTGCTAGCAGATAGAACAAGAACAGTGTTTGCCCTGTGCATGCATGAACTACAATGGCCAAGTGAGCAGGCATGGGAAGAGGTGTAGTGTGTGTTACTTGTTTGTGGTGTGTACAAACCTGTTAATGTGCTTGGGAGACCCTATCAGGAGGCATAAGTTCCCTCACAAGCTTGTTAATGTCTGTGTGTGTGAGCTGTGTGCCCTCTGTGTGTGAAAGCTTATTAATGATCATTGTGTTGCTCATGGGCATAGGGGTCACTGGACTTTGTGAAGAGCAGCCCTTCCTGTGAACTAGAAAGCTGTGGGGGTGGGGGAGTGAGTCTGTCGGGTGTTAATGAATTCTACCAAGTTTATAGGGTAAGTACATGACTGCATGCTTATCTGTGAATGGGTGTGAATCTGTCCACGTATATCACTAAGTGTGAAATGGTTATCCTGAGTAAGCAGTAAACAGTAAAAAGGCTAGACCCCAGAGAGAAGTGCCTATTCTCAGTGTCCCTGGGGTACTAAGGAGCCATGGATTGGGTGCATGTCCCTGTGACTCAAGATTCTTCAGCAGTGTCTGGGTACGTGGCTATAGTAAGATGCTTATGAGTCCTTCTGAATATGTGTGCTGCTGTTTGGCCTTGAGGAGATGTTGCTATTTTGCTGATCAGGCTGAGGCTGAGGTAAATGCATGTGTGTGTGAGTATGTATGTATGTAAATCTGTGTGTGTGCATGTATGTTTGTATCTGGGTATGTGTGTATGTATGTTTGTATATTTATATGTGCATGTATCTGTGTATGTGTGTATGTTTGTATATGTATATATGTGCATGTATGTGTGTATATGTGTATGTATGTGTGTATCTGTATGTATGTGTATACATATGTGTATGTATCTATGTATATGTGTGTATGTATATGTGTATATTTGTGTTGTATATGTGTGCGTATCTATGTGTATATATGTATGTGTGTGTATGTATGTATGTGTATATAAATACTCAGTGGAATGAAGCTCTGTCAGCATGTCCTGCTGGCTCAGGACTGACCCATTGCCTTAGAGTAACATCCATGTGGTCAGAGTAAAGGAAAGCCCTCTGGAGAGAGGGCTTGTTGGTAGAAAACAAGGTATTCTTTAAGAGAACAAGAGAGCCAGCTAACCTCTGCCCTGCCCTGCTTGTCCCTAGATGTGGATGAATGCCACATGTTTGCTGACCTGTGCCACCATGGAGAGTGTATCAATAGCATTGGTTCCTTCCACTGTGACTGCCAAGCTGGATATACACCAGATGCCACTGCCACTGCCTGCATGGGTGAGCCAAGTCCCACCCCCACCCTGTACCTTTGGTCTAGTTATACTTCTGCAAAAACTGTGTCACCCCCATTCCAATGGGGACTGTCCACTTCATATCTCTTGGTTTTCATGTACACTCTAAGGAACTCAAAAAACAGACCAGAAGCAAATATTCTTTGGCATTTCCATCCTGTTTGGGTCACATGTCCCGCTCCTATTTCCTCCTGTTATTTAGTACATCCTAAGATTTTTTTTTTCCAGTTATACTGTGTGCCACGTGTTCCTCCAAATTGTGGGTTGCAAACTCTAATCTGAGGGCCAAGTTGTAAGTAGAGTTTCATTGGCATGCAGCCGTGCCTGTGTGTTTATTCACCTCCAGTGACTACTTTTTCCTGACAGAAAGACTGCGCTAGTTAGTTGTGATTACAGCCACGCCACCCACTATGCTAGTTTGCTTTTCTGTTGCTGTAATAAGTCACCATGACCACAGCAACGTATGGGAGAGTTTATTTGGGCTTATGCCTTAGAGGAATGAGAGTGTGTCGTGACTGGGAGGCATGGCAGCAAGCAGCAGGCGTGGTGGCAGGTGCGGAGAGCCAGCAGGTCACAAAGCAGAGAGAGAAAACCAGAAATTGCAGGAGTCTTTACATTCTCAAAGCTCAGCCCTGGTAACACCGTTTCTCCGTTAGAGTTTCACCTCCTACATCTCCCAGCAGTACAACCAACTGAGGAGGACCACGTGTCCAAATCCATGAGGCTGTGGGGGACATTCCCACTCAAACCACCACACCCATAAAAATAAACATCCATCCATCCCTCGGAGCCAAAGGGAATGTTTCCAATCTTCACTCCCCTATCAGATGCCAAACTGGGAGCTGCTTAAGCCTCCAGTATAAAAATGGTGTCTTTGGGGCTGAACAAATGGCTCCGTGGTTAAAAGAACTTACAGAGAACCTGAGTTCAGCTTCCAGTACCCACACTGGGTGGCTCCCCAATCTATAACGCTAATTACAGGAAATCCAAGGCCTTCTTCTGGCCTCTAGGCTCCTGCGCTCACACACACACACACACACACACACACATACACACACTAAATAAAATAACAAAATTTAAGTGGTGTAGTGTTTGCCTATGACCTACACGCATGCTCCTGTATATTCATTTAGTTTCATTTTTATCTCTTGTGACAGGAAGAATGCATCTCAGGGCCCCCCAGGGGCTCTACCCCTAAGCCATGCCCCAAGCCCGTTGGTGGTATATTCTAGAAAGATGCTCTACTACTGAATGATACCTACAACTCCTTTTTAAAGTATTTTTATTATTTAAATTTGTTCCCTAAAATGTTCATATATGTGTATTATATAGTGATTATCTGCATATTATTTTATAGATTATTAATCACATTCCAATTATACTCACCCCAGCTCTCCTATCTCCTTCCCACCTCTGTCCAACCCCACCTTCTCTTCATAATCCTCTTTCCCACATTTGCTTCCTAAAAATGTTTAAACTATCTTGGGGGGGGGGCATCAGAGTTCATGCCTGCAATTCTAGCTCATGGGAGGCTGAGGCAGGAAGTGAGCTCACGGTGAGCTAAAGGCTAGCCTTGGCTGCTTTGTGAGTTCTAGGCTAGCCTCTGCTGCATATTGGAACCCTGTCTCTAAAATAAAATAGAGGCTGGAGGGATAGCTTAGCAGTTAAGGGTACCAGATGCTTGTTTCCCAGCACCCATATGTCAGCTCACAACTGTCTGCGACTCCTGTTCAAGGAGAGCCAGAATTCTTTCCTGACCTTCCAGGCACCTGGCACACAAGAGGTACACACATACATATGTGCAGGTAAAACATCCACACAAACCCTCGAGAAAATATTTTTTTTCATTTTAAATAAAAATAAAATTATCATTTTATATGGTTTCTCATCTTTATTACAATGTAACATCGAGTTAAGGCACTGAGTCAGTTCAGCATTGATATATTAGTCTAATACAGTGTAAGAGCTGTGACGTGTACTATGTGGGAAAATTGGAGGAAAATAATCTGAATGTTCGGTACAGACACTTTTTCCCCCAAAGTATTTTCTATTGCTGAGTCCACAGAGATAGGTGGAGCGTGGAGCTCTTTCCTGTCATGTGCAAACATAAAGACCCGGGTTTGATCCCCAACACTTCATAAAAATAGAAAACAGGGCCATTGAGATGCCTTAGTGGGTAAAGATGCTTGCCACCAAACCTGCTGACCTGAGTTCAAAACCTGGGACCCAAATAACAGAGGCGAGAGCCACCTCTGCAAGTTGTCCTCTGGCCTCTACATGCACCAAATATGTGTGCCCTCCTCATATACACATACAGTAAGCAAATGTCACTCAAATTTTAGGGACAGGCATGGTGTCCTGTACCTTTAATCCCAGCACTAAGGAGGCAGAGGCAGGTGAATGTCTGTGAGTTTCAGGTGAGCCTGGGATACTCAGTGAGCCCTTGTCTCATGAAAATAAACAAAAGAAATAACATTTAATAATAAAAGTTAAACAACTTAGGTGGTTCCACAATTTCCGATAAACAGAGTACGAGCAGGGGTCCCAGCCTGTGAGGCCCCCATCAACCCCTAGCCACGTCTATGTGATCCCCTCATGCCTTGCCATCCCTCCTAGATGTGGACGAGTGCAGCCGTGACCCAAAGCCATGTGCCTTCCTCTGCAAAAACACAGAGGGCTCCTTTCTGTGCGCCTGCCCCCGTGGCTACCTGTTGGAGGAAGATCTCAGGAGCTGCAAAGGTGATGTCCTTCCCTCCCCCAATCCTCCCCGTCCCCTATTGGTCTCAAGACACTCTCAGGTGTATAGAGTAGATCCTACTGCAGCCAGGGTATCTCTCTTGCCACCTCTCCAGTGGCAACAGCACCCTGCTTGGAGTGGCAAAAGGGATCCCAGGCCCCATACCTAAGCCTGGACCCATAAGACCCACTCACAATTATCCCCTGAACCCCTGCCCTTGAGCCATCACCTCTCAAACCTACCCCCTGAGCAGCCCCTCAAGCCTACTGCCCACTCTATGCATACACTCAAACCACCATTGAGTTACCATCCCCAACCCCCTCTGAGCCCTGCCCCCTTAGCTGGTCCCTTACAACCCCAGGCTTAAGCACCCTCCTCAAGTTGACCCTTGAATCCTGTACCCTCAGACCCAGCCTCTGAAACTTCCTCTCAAACCACCCTCTAAGCCCACCCCATGTCTGCACACCCTCAAGCCTGTCTCCTCAGCACTCTCCCCAAGCTCCTCTGAGTACTGTCTTCTTAGCCTTCAAGTCCTTCGGCTAAGCTCCACCCTTGAGCACCCCGTTGATCCCTACCCTCTGACCCTTTGGACCCCCTATACTGCAGACTTGGACGAGTGCACCTCCAGGCAACACAACTGCCAGTTTGTCTGTGTCAACACCATAGGCACCTTCACCTGCCGCTGTCCTCCTGGCTTCACGCAGCACCACCAGGCTTGCTTCGGTGAGTTGCGTTGTCTGCTTTCTACCCCGCTCTCCAACACAACCCTCACAGCCCTAGCCTTCACATGTGTGTGATACAAAACAATGTCAAATGCTCGATGCTCATCATGTGTCAGGCATGGAGGACATGGAGGTAATTGGAATGCAGTCCCTGGATACTCGCATCTTGGTAGCATCTAGAATCTTCTTCATTGCCCTAGGGAGATGGGAGGCCTACACTCAGAAATCCCTCTGGTCTAGGCCTGGGACTTCTCCCCTTGCCCGTGATCCATCCCTGCTGGGTCTCTCTTACTGAGCTTTCCCAAGGTGTTCTCCAAACTCCAGGAGTTTACACAACCACTCTGGAGAAAGTAGTTCAGAAGTCAAAGCCACAGAGCTATGGTCTCTTGTGTCTTCTGGACCTGAGGGAACTAGAGCGCCCTCTAGTGCCAGCCTAGGCAAAGAGAGTACTCAGCCCTCCCCCAACCCTCCTGCTAGCACCAGCTGTGGTAATGATGTTCATAGACTATAAGATTGATGAACAAATGGGCCTGGAACTGACGTGTTAGTCTGTAAAAAGTGCCTGCTGCTCAAGCTATGAAGACCTGAGTTCAGATCCCCATCACTCGCTTTAAAAGCCAGGCACTTCTGGGGAGGTACAGAAAGTAGGATCCCAGGGCCTTGCTGGCCAGTCAGTCCAGTCAAATCAATAAGTTCCAAGTTCAGTGAGAAATTCTCAACAAAAAAGTGGAATGATTGAGCAAGACACCTGATGCCAACCTCACACACAGAAGCAGACACACACACTCCAATTTAAAAAAAAAAATAATAAATGCACTGGGGCTAGGTAAAGAGCTTGCTGTGCAAACACAAGAACGCGAGAACTGGAATTCTGATGCCCAAAATCTACGTAAATGCCAGTAAGCACGGTGGCTGCCTGTTATGCCAGACTAGAAAGACTAGAAAGGCGAAGACATGAAATCCTCAGAGTGAGCTGGCTAGTAGGACTAACCATATCGGGAAGCTCTCAGTGAACATGTGTGTGTGTGTGTGTGTGTGCGCGCACACACACACACACACACACACACACATAAGCACACATGCATGCATCCACAACACACACAAATGGAAAAGCAAAAATTTTAAACAGACACTAGAGATTTAGTGTTGCACAATTGTAGAGAGGAGAAGCCCAAGATCCAGGCACCAGCACATTTGGTTCCCAGTGAGAGCTATTCCATCCCTAGCTTGCAGCCAGACACCTTCTTGCAGCCTCACATGGCCAGGAGTTGGGGTGTTCAGACAGATAGACAGACAGACAAGAGACAGAGCAAGACTCTTGTCTGCTGGTGTCTCTTCTTTTTCTCATTTTCAACATTTATTTTTAACTATTCTTAATTTCCTTTTAACATGTATTTTGCATGCAGGTGTGTGTTTGTGTGTCCATGGCATATGTGGAGGTCAAAGGACAACTTTCAGACATTAGTTCCTTCCTTCCACCATGGGCTCCAGGAACTCAGCCACTCGGGCTTGGCAGCAAGCACCTTCACCAGCTTAGCCATCTCACCTGTGCCCCTCTTTTTTTTTTTTTTTTTTTTTTAAGATAAACAGTGTCTTGCTGACCTGTAGTTCACCAAACAGGCTAGGCTGGCTGGACACTACCACCACCTATGCCCAGCTTTTTCTTCTCTTCCCTAATAGTGTTTTACTCACTGAGCCTTCTTTTCAGCACACACACACACACACACCTTTTTGAGCAGTTGGTTTTGTTTTGTTTGAGACTTTACTTTTTTTCTTCTTTCTTTTTCCCAAGACAGGGTTTCTCTGTGTAGCCCTGACCCTTGCCCTGAAGACCAGGCTGGCCTCAAACTCACAAAGATCTGCCTGCTTCTGCCTCCCATGTTCTGGGATTAAAGGTGTATGTCACAATTGCCTGGCCTGAGGTCTTACTTATTTTTATTTCATGAGTATGGATATTTTGCCTGTATGTATGTATGTGTATCACGTACATGTAGCGCTTGCAGGGGCCATAGATGGAGATTCCCTGGGACTGGAGTTATAGACTGTTGTTATCCACCACGTGGGCTTGGGAAATTGAACCAGGGTCCTCTGTAAAAACAGACAAAATGACTCTTAAACACTGAGCCATTTCTCAGCTCCACCCCTACCTTGTTTTCTGAGACAGTGTCTGTCATTAGGATCTGGAATTAGGATGAACTGGCTGCCCAGCCTCCAGGGACCACCAGCCTCTGTGGGTGATGACATACCCCACATCTGGTTCTGAAGACTCAGGTCCTCGTGCGTGCACAGAAAACAATGCCTGAACTGGCTGTTCAGCCCTTCATTTCACTTTTTGTTTTGAGACAGGGTCTCTCTAAATTGACCTAGCTGACCTTGAACTTGTGATCCTCTGCCTCTGGATCCTAAGTAACTGAGATTATGGGCCTGTTCATGCACATCTGACTGCATATGGGTTTGTTGACTCTTTAAGAAAGCTTTGGGGATGTCAGGAGAGCATTTACTACTAAGCCACACCCTCAGCCCAGTGTAGGTAATGTCTGACTCTCAGAGCTGGAACGTCTTAAACTCTAGCATGGTTAAGTCCGCTGAATTCTCATGCGAGAATGCAAACAAGTAGCTACTTTCTCTGTTGTAATGGAGGGAACTAGAGGAGTCAGCAACCCCAGGACGCACAGCCTTGAATTTCAAGCAATACACTTTACATTCAGTACCCACTAACACTGTGCGATTCTGTGAGCTAGGAACTATTCATTTCTCATTTCACAGTGAAAGAAGCCAGCACGGGGGTTGGGGGGTGGGGTGACTCCTCTGAAGCCACGCTGTCCAGTGTCAACACTAGCATGGCAGCCCTTCACGTCCACCCCCTAACCACAAAGCAACCCTGCCCGTTCTCTGTCCTCTATAGATAATGATGAGTGCTTGGCCCAACCTGGCCTCTGTGGCACCCATGGACACTGCCAGAACACCCCAGGCAGCTTCCGCTGTGAGTGTCATAGAGGCTTCGTGCTGGACAGCTCGGGCCACAGCTGTGAAGGTGAAGTAGCCTGTGAGTGGTTCTCAGTCTGAAGGATGACCCCCAAAACCACCCACCAATCTTCTCTCTTTCTTTCTCTCTTTCTCTGTGTCTCAGATGTAAATGAATGTGACAGACCCCATCGCTGCCAGTTTGGCTGCCAAAACGAGCTGGGGGGCTACCGTTGCAACTGTCCCCAAGGCTTCACCCAGCATTCCCAGTGGGCCCAGTGTGTGGGTGAGTGACAATGGCTGGGAGGAAACCAAGCATGTTCCAGGATCTTTCCAGTGCAGACAGTAGGAACCATTTCCCCTGCAGCTGTTATGACAAGCTTGTCCATCTTGTTATGACAAGCTTGGTCCATAAAATGGACCAGCCTAAAAAGTTGACTACTGGGATGTCATTGGACTGCTGACCAAACATGGCATAGGGCTCAAATCTATTTGTTATAGAGTGATGTCTTGACTACCTGGAAAAAGTGCAGCACCAAAAGACTACCAAGTATGCAACAGAAAGAATGCTGTGATTGATTAGCAATGTCTTCTACAGGCAGAGCAGCAAGATTTGTCAATGCCTGCTGTAGATGCAGTGGGAAGTATGATGTGATCGATTAGTCATGTCTGCCCTGAGTACAGCAATGCACCTCAAGACACACATGCTGTTATCTTTGCCACATAAATTTCAGAAGCTCTTGAGTTAGTGAGCGTGCCTTCTGTATCACAACTTTCCCCCTTTTTTGCTGCCCCAGGCTCTTCCTTCAACAGCCTCATCTCTATCACTTTCAACATTTCTCCCATAGTCTTTTTGTGTTTTCTTCCCTGTAACCCCTTCCATATACCCCTCCTTTCGTTCTCTCCCAAAGCTATGACCTCTCTTCTCGTTAGTTTATGTTAGTTAGTTATATGTATATGTAGCTTTTATCCTCTACCTTTGCAGAGTCCACTTGCTCTCCTGAGACCTGTGACGTCTCCTCAGCTCTTACTTTCACTGCTCTCACAAGCTTTGCAGCAGAGGATGGGAGTTGTGAGGGAGAATAATAGACAGGGGATAGAGGAAAACAGTCTGAGGGCTTCCGGCAAGCTTACTGGAGGCTTTGCACAGTAAAGGGTACTGTGGTTAATTAGTATTGTTTATTGTGAATACAGAAAGTAGGGGATGTGAGGCTCCTAGTATCATGGCAGAGCCTAAGGATACTGCTCAATATCTCACAGTACTTGCTCCTACCACAGAATGTCCCTTCCCCTCGTGAGAAAGCTTGTTCTAGAATAACCAACCACTTGGGATACAGGGGAGATTTTGAGAAATGCTGTAAGAGCCAGGAGTATAATAGGCAGTGGGTGGAGGAAGGCAAATATAGTTCTGGGGGTGGGGGTGTCTTTTTTTATTGATTTCATTAAGCTATACATTTCTCTCCACTCCCCTTTTACCCTCTCCTTTGGTCACCATGCTCCCAATTTACTCAGGTGATCTTATCTTTTTCTACTTTCCATGTAGATTAGATTCAAGTATGTCTCTCTTAGGGTCCTCATTGTTGGCTGTTTTCTTTTGCTTTATGTTTAAAAAACACTTATGAGTGAGTACATATGATAATTGTCTTTGGGGTCTGGGTTACCTCACTCAATATGATGTTTTCTAGCTCCATCCATGGCAAATATAATTTGAGAGTTCCTAATGAGTCTACTGGAAGCTTTACACAGTGAAGAGTACTGTGATTGATTAGTAATGTCTGCCATGGGTACAGAATAGAGTGGTGTGTATTCAAGTGAAAGGTTCCAGGTATACAAGGTTTCTTCCAATCTGTCTCTCCTTTTCTCTCTGCCTACAGATGAAGATGAGTGTGCCCTGTCACCCATGACTTGTGGCAGTGCCTCTTGCTACAATACTCTTGGCAGTTTCTACTGTGTCTGCCCCTCTGGTTTCAGTTTCAACCAGGACCTTGGAGGCTGCCAGGATGTGGATGAGTGTGCAGAACAAGGCAGCCCCTGCAGCTATGGTTGTGCCAACACACCTGGTGGCTTCTTGTGTGGCTGTCCCCAAGGCTACTTCCGGGCAGGACAAGGGTAAGAGGTTCAAGAGGGATGGGCAAGAGTGTAGTGATCACATTTTTCATGCCCTGATCACGAACATTGGGTTCTTATACCCACAGAATCCATTAACAAAGCTCCATCTGCCTGTGCATGTAGGTGCCTACATGCATACACAGAGAAGCCCAAACACAGCCAGCCATTCATATGCCAGTATACATGAGTACATATCTGTGTCATTAGTCCATTTTTTTGTTCAAGCTTATATTTGCCCACTACCTGGAGATATTTATAGGCTATCCATGATCCAAGTTAGTTCACATGAAGAAACACATATGAACCCTCACACACAGAAATAAAATCCTCCCTCCATATTCATGGAAGATTGCTTCCTGTACCCCTCATATGTGATACAATTTCTGGGAGTCATGAACAAAAACATCTACTCACCCCAGATATGGAACCAGCAACAGATCAAAGTAATGATACCATTAAATTCCAACTTGGTGAGCCCCCGAGTTTACTACTCACCAATGGGATACTTGGAGGAGTGTGGATAAGAAGTTATCTACAGAAACATAGATGACCCAAAAGCAGATACATCAACAAAAGCCCATAGACGGGAGGGATGGCTCAGCAGTTAAATGTCTGGCTGCTCTTACAGGGGTCCCGAGTTTAGTTCCCAGCGTGCACATGGTGGCTCACAACCATCTATAACTGTAGTCCCATGGGATCTGATTCCCTCTTCTAGTGTTCAGACATGCATGCAGACAAAGCACCCATATACATAAAATACATAAATAAATAAATCTTGAAAGAAAGGAAGGAAAGAACGAAGGGAGGAAGGGAGGGAGAATGAGAAAACAGGCCCAACTTACGTGGGTAATGACTCAGGGAATCTGAAATCTTAGAACTCACTGCAAGATTTGCAGGCACCTTAACAAGATGGAGTCTCCTCAGCTTTCCTTGATGCTTATATAACAGTGATGGGAGTTGGGGGTCTTATGCATCCAGTAAATTTTAGGTACCTCTTGAAATGTAGGAGTTGCTTATTTCCTGTGTCTCATGGACCCTTCCTCAAGGACAGAATGATTCATCAACACCCAAAATTTGCTGTGCAATAACATCACCCCTATCTCATGGATACCCAAATGTAAGGCTATTCTAGTCCCTTGTATAAAATGACATGGCACTTACACAGGACCTACACACACTCCTCCATATACTCTAAATCATCACAGGCTGGGGATGTCACTTGGTGGGTGGAATACTTGCCTCATACATCCAAAGTCCTGGGTTTTATCTCAGCATTGTGTACACCAGCCATGGTGGTATACTCCTGTAATCCCAGCACTTGGAAGGTACAAGCAAGAGGACCAGAAATTTAAGGTCGTCCTCTGCTATACAGCAAATTTGAGGTTAGCCTGGGTAACATGAGACCCTATCTTGAAAATAAATAATCATCTCTACAAAATTTATATTACATGATACAATATAAAATAGTATATGTAACTGTTGCACTGTTTTATTAAGGGGATATTAACAAAGAAAAGATGTCTAAATGTTCAGTAGGGAGTTAACTAAGACAGGCCTAACCACACAAAAGATCACAACACAGTAGACATCTTCTGTCCTTTGATAACCAGTTGAATATGAGGATGCAGAACCTGTGGATACAGAGAGTTGACTGTGCTTGTGGACAAGGGTTACTATACTCACATTATCAGCATACTCATATAGATTCATGCATCCCAGTGAGCACAGGTGTATGTACACACTATCTTCCATATACACATGTAGGCTCCCAAATATACATGTTTCTGGATATACACAGATACATTCTTCTATTCTATTGCATGTTCATCATCCCGTTCTTGTGTTCATACCAATGCCCAGGTAAACCAAGGGACACACATCCCTCCTGTAGGTGTGCACACATGCACATACACAACCATGCCAACACACACACATGCATATTTGCATGATGGTGCCTGTGCCCATAGCTCAGAATGAGGTATGATGGGAGATGGTGAGGGAGGTAATACCAGCCTGTTTCTAAAAGTTTTTTCCATACCATCTATCTGGCTCAGACACTGCATCTCCAGCCCTGGGTTCAGCTCTGGATCTCGGGCCACCCCAGATGAGGAAGAGTCACTCTCACCTGAAGCCTGCTATGAATGCAAGATCAATGGTCTCTCCCCTCGGGACCGACCAAGGCGCAGCACCCATGGAGATCATCAGGTGCCATGGGGGCCACACTGGGAGGGTCAATTAAGGAGTCTGCGGGTGTCTGAAGGAGACTGTGATCCCTCAAGAGAGAACACTAGCTCTAGGAATGTAGCTTAGCTGATAAATTATTTGCCTAGCATGAATGAGGTCCTGGATTCAAACCCCAGCACTACATAAAAATAGACATCCTCAGCTCCTTAGTATGGTTGAGACTAGCCTAGGCTACATGAGACTCTGTCTCAAAAGGGGGAAGAGAAAATCAGGCAACCATTAGACTATGTGACTCAGCTTCTCCCTCATATCATGGTGCCTGACTGGATCCTCTATACATTCTCAGCCTGTGCCTTTTCTGGGGAGCATATCCCTTGGTCACTTTATCTCATTCCTGTGACAGTTAAGGCTCATTCTAGACATATCCTAAGCAATCTGTAATAACCAAATGGGGAGGAAAAAAGGTCCCTACCCTCATGATACTCTGATGGAGGAAAAAGAAATCATTAAGTAAAATATAGCATGCTTTATAACATATGAAAAATGAGCCATGTAACAGAGAGAAATAAAGCCAGAGTGGGATGGGCATGTTAGGGCTGAGAGACTTTCAACGTATAGTTAACTAATATGAATGGATTGTGAGTTACTTTGTCTTCTGTTTTCTTCAGTTGGTATTTCCTTTAAGAAAAAACTTTTCATGTAGAAACTATCCGACATTTACTTTTATGTGTCGCTGCACTGCCTGCCTTTGGTTTTCAAGGAGAGTGGAATGGTTGCTGAGGATCCTGGGATGGACCTAGCATGATTTAGAGAGAGGGATTTGCGTTGTCTTTGCTTGCAATACCATTGATTGCCAGGAGGTGTCAATAAAAGCATTTGTTGTTTTGAGGAGCATGCCCCTCAGAAAGATTTCCCAGAACCAGGGGCAGAGAGGCTGAAATAGCTTTCTCTCAAAAGTAACGGCAGACCACTCCACAGGCATGTAAATGAGGTGAAACAAACACGGCACAACCCACAGGGGGAAAAAGTAAACACAGATAACCCTTTGTGGAATCAGCTACATCACCCAGCCTGGGGTGGCCTGCCATTGAGGTTCATTGGCTTATTGAGGGTACTGTCTTGCTGCCAGGACCATGAAGGCACTTCTGAAGAGCTCAAATAAAGAAGGGCTTGTCATCTGTACACAAGGTCCTCTCAGAGAGAGCCAGATACAGGAAGTACAATGGAAGCCAGCGGAAGGCTCTTCTGAGGCCTCTCCTTGCTCCCTTTCTGTCCTAGCTGGATATTCTGTTTGTATCTCCGTAGATTCTGGCATCTTTTTGGAGATGTGGGTTTTTCTTGCCAAAAAAAAAAAAAAAGCCCTTAGTTATAACACCAGTCCACCAGTCCCATAGGCTGCCTCTGAACCCCCCTTAGGGCTCTGGAACTGCATGTTGCCTGCCTGACCTGTTTGCTGTGTTTTCAAGACAAATCTGATTCCCCTAACTGTTGTTTTTCTTATTTGTTTTGTTTTTGGTGTGTGTATATCTGTCGGTGTCTGTGTGTCTATGTGTATCTCTCTCATACATGGGGTGGGGGGAGACACACATAAATACATGTGCTCAAGAATACCACATCTGGAGACAAGAGGTCATCACTGTCGTAGAATTTTTCCCCACCTTTTCTTTTTTTAATTTTAAATGTATTTACTTAGACATGGTAGTGATTGTGTGTGTATCCATTCATGCATAAGACAGGGATGTGGAAATCAGTGAACAACTGGTAGGAACGAATTCTCTCTCCTTTTCCATGTGGGTCTAGGGAATCAAACTTAGGTCCTCAGGTTTCACAGCAAGCTCCTTTACCTGCTGAGCCATCTTGTGGGACAGATTCTCTCTCACTAAACCTGGAGCTCACAGTTTGATTATACCACTGGCCAGCAAGCCCCTGGCATCCTCCTCTCCCCTCCAAGCAGTGTGACTGGGCGTGCGCCACCACACCCAGCTTTCTACATGGGTGCTGGAGATCTGAACTCAGATCTTCATGCTTGACAGCAAGCACTTTACCACCTGAGCATCTCCTGAATCTTTCTCCTCCTGGCTTTGTTGTTGTTTGTTTTTTCCGTCAAAGAACCAAATTTGGCCTTTGCTGTTAGGGCCTTAGCTGATCTTGGCCTTGTTCATAAATTGCTAGATGAAGAAACCAGGAACCAAGCATACCTACTTGCATCCTTGTTTACACAGTCTCTGACAGTTCACTTGGTCCCTCCCCCTAGGTTAGCCTGGATACCCTTGACGTGGAAGTCCCCTTGACCTTGAGCCTGAACATCTCACACCTGGGCCAAGTCAAGCACATCTTAGAATTTCGACCAGCTCTTGAGAGTCTGGTAGGCCAGATCCGTTATGTTATTGCCAGAGGTAACAACCAAGGTTTCTTCCGAATGAGTCACCTGGCTGGCGTCAGCTCCCTGCAGGTTGGCCCTGGGAGACTAAGACCGGGGAAATACCAGCTGGAGGTGGTGAGTATAGCAGGAGCTCAGGGCCAACCAGGGCCGGCAAACCAAGCCTTGCGGCTAACAGTCCAACTGCAACTGCTCTAGCAGAAAGAATCTTCAGTGCACCTAGATGTCCCGTGACATCTGAAAGTGCATATTTTGCAACTGGCTAGAACTGATCTCGGAGGCAATGGCTAAGCAAGTTGAACCTCAAAACTCAGGAAAAGGGAAGCATTACACTCTGACCTCAGATGAACTCAGTCTTTGCAAACCTGGAGGACCCCCAACACCTCAGCCTCTCCTGGACTCAGCTAGAAATCTCAGCATTCATCCCTCCACCCCACAGCCAAGGTCAGCAGCAGGAAGGACCCCTGGTGTTCACCACCCCTCGTCTTCCTCAAGCTAAAATTTCCAGACTGCACTATGATTTGCCAAGGGTGTTGGTGGGACATGGGAATAAGTGTCTAGGGTGGGTGTGGGGTTCATCCCTCAGAGAATCAAAATGGAAAAGCCTTACCTGCCACATCTTGACTAGCAGATTCATTCCCCAGAGTCAGATCCAGGGTTCTAAAGATACTTTTCTTTGAAACTGGAGAAAACAATAAAGTCCTTGGGGGTTAAATCTGCCTATGGTGTTCTCAAATAAGTAGATGCTGTCTCCTCTTACAAAAGCCACACACACACACACACACACACACACACACACACACTTGGGGAAGCTGGAGGACCCAAGTTGGTGCTGCCAGAAGAAGACTTGTCTCACTGTCATAAAAAAGAACCTTATGTTATTAAAACATCTTATATGTCATATTCTGTAGATCTCTGAAGTGCTTAAAGATCACATGTATATCTAAAATATATCTCAGTTTGATCCTAAAAACATACCTAACATGATTACAAGTTTGATTATAATAGGTGACTAACTACTAACCAGAATTTCTATATCACCCTAAATGGTTTGTAATAATAACTTTCAAGGACTAAAAACAAGCTATATAGGTGCAATACCTAAAACAAGAGTAGAAACGTAGCTACAGTAGGTTCTAATAAAAATAACTTTAAATTTGCATCAGTAGACAAATATCTTAAACAAGAGTAGAAACATATATCCAATATAACAAAAATAACTTTGAATTTGTATCCAAAAATCCATAACAATATAAAATATTTAAGACTAGTAGTTGTTTTAGTGGTTAAAAGTAGATTCAATAATCTACCCCTTTATCCTGTCATTTCTATATCATAGCACCCTTTCTTCTTTTAGAAAGAGATTGAATATGATCAATAACAATTTGTAATCAACCCCCTTAAATGCAAGCAAACATTCATAACAATATTTTGGGAATTTGGGCGTAGTTGTCTAGAGTACTTCCTGTTGATTGGTGGGCACTGGTCATCTTTGAAGGACCCTGAGAAAATCAGGATAATTGTTAAGTCTTGGCTGGAGTATTCTGTGAGGCTGACCCATCTCAGTCAGCAGCCAGGAAGCTGTTCTGGATGTTGGATCACCTGGGCCATCATTTTCATTAGTGTCTGGTCCCTTTACTATAAAAATATATAAACTTTTAAAGGCAACATACACATCTGTATTAATGGGCGGTGGTGGCGCACGCCTTTAATCCCAGCACTTGGGAGGCAGAGGCGCAGGCAGATCTCTGTGAGTTCGAGGCCAGCCTGGTCTACAAGAGCTAGTTCCAGGACGGGCACCAAAGCTACAGAGAAACCTTGTCTCGAAAACCAAAAAAAAAAAAAAAATACAAATATATACTGTGTATTATACAAAGCCAGCCGAAGGTAGTTTTTGTTTTTTTGTTTGAGCAGGTAAAATATGCATCAGTGTCCTATAGTTACTTTAGGTTTATTTTCCTGTGTCTATAGTCAGGATTTTTAGGGGGCTGTTCCTCAATCACTTAACCCAGAACGAATCCAGAGCTTCTCATTTCCTGTGGAAACAAAAGCATAACCTCTTTTCCAAAGTAGCATATCTTTTGACTTGTTTGAAGTCGAGACATTTTTTAAATATATAGGTTGGTTTAATCCAGCAGCATTTATAATCAAATATCTCTTAGTAGCTTTTGTTCCTTTCTCAGCAGTTAAGCAGCTTAAACATAACACATAGTATCCATACTCTCTGTGTTTTCCATCTTTATGTGGCTTATTTTCTTTGTATTGATTTATTTTCTTTTTGAGAGTTTCACTTTATTATTTTTAAACTATATTTTTAATCTATGACTGTATGACTCTTTTTTCTCCCAAGTTTGTGTGTGTGTGTGTGTATTTTTTTTTTTTTTTGGTTTTTCGAGACAGGGTTTCTCCGTAGCTTTTGGTTCCTGTCCTGGAACTAGCTCTTGTAGACCAGGCTGGCCTCGAACTCACAGAGATCCGCCTGCCTCTGCCTCCTGAGTGCTGGGATTAAAGGCGTGCGCCACCACCGCCCAGCGTGTGTGTGTATTTTAAACACTGTAATTTTACTATGTTAAAGTTAAAATTTCCCTTTTTTGGTAAAAATCTTTTTATTAATTTTTATTGAGCTCTACATTTTTCTCTCTTCCTCTCCCTGTCTCTCCCCTCCCCTTCAATCCTCTTCCAAGGTTCCCATGCTCCCAATTTACTCAGGAGATCTTGTCTTTTTCTACTTCCCATGTAGATTAGATCTATGTATGTCTCTCTTAGGGCCCACATTGTTGTCTAGGTTCTCTGGGATTGTGATTTGTGGGCTGGTTTTCTTTGATTTATGTTTTAAAACCACTTATGGGTGAGTATATGTGATAATTGTCTTTCTGGGTCTTGGTTTCTTCACTCAAAATGATGTGAAACTTTCCTTTTTGATTAGACATAAAAGTGGAAATGCTGTGGGATGATCCTCCATATTCTGTGAATCCATGTTGCTCTCATTGTTTGATAATAAAAACTAACTTGTCCTATGGCCAGGCAGAACAAAGCAAGGCAGGAAAACCAAATGGAAAGACAGGGAGAAAGAGGGGCAGAGTCAAGAGAAATGTGAGCCAGCTACCCAAGAAACAAGATGTCAGTGGACCAGTAATGCCACAGCCATGTGGCAATACATAGATTAATAAAAATGGTTAATTTGACTGGAAGAGCTAGTTAGTAATAAGCCTGAGCTATAAGCCAAATACTACAATTAATATTAAGCCTTTGAGTGATTATTTAAAAACAGTTGTGGGATGGGGGAGCAGAGACGGAGAAACCTCCATTTACACAAACCCCAAACTAGGCTGACAGTGGCAGCCTTTCTGGGCCCTGGTGGTTTTTCAGGTATTCATTTGTTTGCTGTTTGTCTTGAAACTCTGAAGAATAGACAAGTATTCACAGAGTCCCCATTTGATAGGCAGAACAACTGATGCTCAGAGAAGTTAAGCAACATGGTCATGATCAGGCAGCCGTACTAGCAGCTATGCTGTCAATCACTGTGCCTGGCTCTGACTCAGTGGCTAGACTGTGTGTCATAATAGTGAACTCTCTGCAGCTTGGGGGCACCTTTCAAATACTAGTATATTTGGTAGCCATGAAGCCTAGCCAAGGAAAGCAGTATTATCACATGGATACTGAGGTTTAGAGAATGCATGGGAGCCTGCTGTGATCACCACATATTGCACAGGCTAGAGCCTGATGTTTGAGTTTTTGTTGTTATTCTTTGTTTGTTTTATATTGTTTTGTTTTTGAGGTGGGGTATGTGTGTGTTTCCTGACGCTATATTCTGAAGCCTGGCTCCAAACCACAGAAAATCTCTCTACAAAGGAAACATTTGTTTTAGGATTGATTTTTGTTTTCTGTGTGTGTTGATGTTGCTGTGTTGTTGTTTGGTGGTAATAGGAATTGAACCCACAGCTTTACTTTAGAAATGCTAGGCAAGCATTCTACCACTGAGCTACATCCCTAGTTCTTTTTTTAGAAAAGTTTATTGATATTTTAAATAGGATCTCTGGCTGGCCTGAACTCTCTTTGTAGACCAGGCTGGTTTTAAACACATAGAGATATGCTTGGCTCCACATTCCTGAGATTTATGGTTTGGGAGATATGGTGGTTTAAATAAGAATGGCCCCGCGGGCTCATATATTTGAATGTTTAGTCATCAGGGAGTGGCGTACTCAAGAAGGATTAGAAGTTGTGGCCTTGTTGAAGTAGATGCAGCCTTGTTAGAGGAAATGTGTTATTAGAGTGGGCTTTGAGGTTTCAAAAGCCCAGTGGCTCACTCTCTCTCTCTCTGCCTCTGTGTCTCTCTCTCTCTCTCTCTCTCTCTCTCTCTCTCTCTCTCTCTCTCTCTCTCTCTCCGTGGCCTGTGGATTCAAATGTAGAACTCTCAGCTACTCCAGCACCTTGTCTGTCTATGTACCACCATGATCCTGCCATAGTGATAATGGACTAAATCTCTAAACCTGTAAGAGAGCCCCAACTAAATGCTGTCTGTGGCCATGGTGTCTCTTCATAACAATAGAAAAAACTGAAAAATGAAACTTATGTCCTGACAATGCTGAAGCATGCATGGGCAGCCTATCTATGGCCGTTCTGTTGAACTTGTCCGTATTGGGTTTCATGGTCTAAGTTGATGAGGATGACTGATCTGCTCTCTTTCTGAAAGAGGTCATAACAATAGAACACTGACGAAAACAGGAGGGTTAGAGTCCATGTTGGCTGAGCAAAAGCTGGTATCAAGAACAGCTGAGAGCCTACAGCAGGCCGAGAGCACACTAAGAATGGTTGAATCTTTTGAAACTTCGAAGCCTGCCCCCATGACATACCTCCTCCACCAAAGCCACACCTCATAATCCTTCCCAAATACTTCACCAACTGCAGGCCATGTATTCAAACACATGAGTCTATGGGGGTCATCCTCATTCAAAACACCACAATTCCCAAAAATTGGCGGAAGCAAAGCTGAACAACCAACCTCTATCTGCAGGTCTCTAGTATCTGGTCCCAGAGCCCTATCCTTGCTCCAAGTCTGACCCAGTGACCTTTGGGCATCCCATTAGGGCTAGCAGAAAGCCTCTTCATCCATTATCCAGATCTCCCATAGCCCCCAGAATCTGGATATGGCAAACACAATGGCCTATATTTTACAGAGAAATTCAACACAGACACTGACATTAAGATTTGGACCTTGACTGATTATGATGGCCCACACCTTTAGTGGGCCACACACTTTAGCACTGGGGAAAAAGAGGTAAGCATATCTCTGTAAGTTCAAGGCCATCCTGGTCTACATAGCAAGTTCCAGTCTAGTCAAGAATATACAGTGAGACACTGTTTAACAAACAAAACAAAAAATATTTAGACCAAGAGGATGGCAAGATGGCTCAGTAGATAAACGTGTTTGCCATACAAGACTGACTTCTTAAGGTCAATACCCAGACCCCAAAGTGAAAGAAGAGAACCCACTCCCTAGGTTGTGTTCTGAACTATGCACACCCACCACCACTATCCCACAACTGCAATGAATAAATAAACAGCTTTGGACAGAGAGCACAGGGTGTATTCAGCTAGCTGTAAAGTGCTTGTCTAGTACACAGCCCTGAGCTAAAACCAGAGCTACATAAGTTAGGGGTCTCATTTTATCAACCAAGTGAGGAAGCAATGGTCCAAGGTCAGGTCACATCCACCCTTC